TTTTAAGTGGGAAAATTGTCTACATATTGGACGTATGTTGGAAATTTAAATCAATATCGTTGTTGAGTACTAGGTGATAGTACGATCATCAACGACTGGTCAAATCAACGCGGAGATATGATAGAGACTGCTACGCTTGGTTGTGAATATATAGTCGTTGCAATTATCTCCTCTCCATACAAGCAAGTTCTATCACCAACCTTAATGTTATCATAAGAGGTTTTTATAGGGGATACGTCTGACTGACACATTACGCCAGTTTGGACAGTAATGTGGATTCGATATATGATCAGGTAGATTAAGCAGTTATATCATGGCGAGTCAACTATACTCTAGCTATAAGTTTGTTACATAGATAAGTGCATTGACATCGAACTTTGGCATGAGTTCCATATGTAGAATACATTTTGGGACCATGATATCAAAGTTTGGCGGTTCGTTCGGCATATATTTCTTTTACTGTTTTAGCACCGACCTTGGTCTTACGCCTAAGTATGGTCTTTGATAGTGGTACGTTATACTTACTGGCTCAATCTTTTGTCGACATCATTAATGCCTTAAGTGACTGAGATGCTAACAATAGTTCTGTCTTGAGGTACGGCAGAAGAGGCCCCAAGGATAACATCTTTCCCTGCGACAAAGAAACACGTTTCGGATTTGACTGTAGATTCCTATCGTGACTAATTTGATGAAATTTTGATTTCCATCTTGTTTCAGGAGCCTCCTTATATAACATGGTCCTCTTCTTCCTCAAAGCAAAAGTTCTATGACTATTACTGACAGACGACGCAATATTGACTGTATATTACCAAGTGTTACGTCAAAATATTACTCTGATCTGTTATTGAGGTGTAGTCGGTTGACACCAACGCAAAATAAAAAAAGGAAATAGTGGTAGATATTGAGGAAAGTCCACAGTGAGACTTGATGCGAATACAGGCAACAGTGTATCGAAATATCACCTTTTTCCTCAACCCGGGGTATACAGTGCATGGTTTTCCCGAAATTTACCCTGTGAGAGGAAATGTTTCGAAATTAACACGTTTATCTCCCCCAAAATCTCACGAGGGTAAACACTGAACCCAAATAAAGATAACCAAATGTCATTTCAGATACCAAACATTTATTCGTAAATTACGACTAATCTGTAGTGACCTACTTTTATCAAGAGAACACGATTGGTTTGATGGAAACAGTTATTATTATAACCAATTGTACCACGGGTTGTTTTACTGTACTTGTTTGTTTAACTGTACTAAAGACATTCTTCCTTCTGTTGATTATGACCTTGCACGAGTTCGGTTACGCTCAGTAACCACACTTGTACTCCTTCCGCACGATCTCGGTATTTCGATACCACGAGATCGCCAACAATTACATCTCGACTACAGCCATCAACTGCCTTCAGATATTTGGCCTACGGGAGATCTTATCGGTTAACTGCCACGTAGTCTTCCTGTAGTGGTGATCATCGTCGACCGTGACTCGACCCCACACTACAAATCTACCCACATATATTGTTCTAACAGTGATTCCAACAAACCTTCAGGTTTCAGGGGGGAGAATTCGTGGCTGAGGATGAGCTGAATTCCCATTTGCGTCTTAAACTAAGCAACCAAACAAGAGGAAGCGGGAATGGTTATCCGCACTGTTGCAGTCCATGACGGCGTACGTGTTACATTCGTTGTCATTTTTGCTGGTGCTGTAATCGAACGAAGTATAAATGAATGGTAACTGTTAGGAATTATTCATGGACTATCATGAAATATATTTTAACAGGAAAATTAGTAGGTAACTAGACTACATACATCATTATTCCTTTGTATCACAAGCTTTCATCTGACCTGTTGGATATTGTTACACGATTTAATATCCTTAAATTATCTCCAATTTATAAGTTACAGTCCCTCGCATTCAGCCAATTTCGGCTTGATCCCGTATAATTGTTATATTCTGTTTTACGATGTGATGCGGTCTGGTCTACATGTATATAAATGAAGATTCATATATCAGGTACTGATGTTTGTGTTCCAGATTAAATGAGCTAGGCCAGGTGAGAAGCAATCACACAGAAGATCTATAAGGATTCTGAGTTGACTAAAATCTGTTTAACTTGTGATTCGTTTAGAACAGGGACATTGACGAAGAATTCGGTATCTTTACTTGCATACTTACGCCCGTTGCCCATCATGGAGATGCGTAGGCCGCCCATCAGCATTCTCCATCCAGCTCTCTCCTATACAATTCTTTCCAGTGGCTACTCATTCTTTTAACTTCTGCTTCCAATTAACGATGCAGTGTGTAATTTGATCTTCCTCTTTTTCGTTTCCCTTCAGGATTCCAAGTTGGCGCTTGCTGCGCGATGCAGTTTGATGATATCCTCAATGTATGTCCGATCTACTCACAACGTCTTTCCCTGATTTCTTCTCCAGCTGGAAGTCAATTTGCTCTCTCCCCCAGTGGGTTTTTGCTGATGGTACCCGGTCAACGGATATTAAGTATCTTACGTAGAAATTTGTGTATAAGTGCTCGTGCCTTTTTATTAATAGTTGTAGTAGATCCAGACGACTGTGACCCTGATAATGGTTGACAGTTGTTTTGAGTTTCAAATGTTCTTCAACTCTGGGAATGCTGCCCTTGTTTTACCGATCCTCGCCTTTACGTCTACATCAGATCCTCCTTGTTCATCTATGGTGCTTCCATGTTTGTAGAAGATTTCACTTCTTACAGAGTTTATTCATCAGGCGTAACTAGTTTTGCGTTTTCTGTGTTGTATTTGAGGATCTTGGTTTTTAACTAGTGTATGCTGAAGCCTTCAAAATATATCTTCGAACTTCTTCACTTCTGACATGCTACTTATAAGCTTCTTCTGAGTAACCACTACGAAGAGTCCACTCAACTACAGAATAATCTGTTCAATTGACACTGACGATGTAAAGGGAAGTGTAAATCCAATACTGTTACAGGGAAATCCATGCTAGTAATTCCATGTTGTTAAGAGTGGCCTAAATAGAAAACACAACGCCACTATAATCTTCAATCACAGGCCGTGTCCAATAAAGCAGAAAGGTGAATGACGTGTGTAGTGTTCATTTTAACATATAAAGTAGCGCAGATACCAATCAACAGGTTGATTTTATCCGGTCATGTTCGATACGATCAATGCAAACAAACAATGTTTGCTGAATATAAATGTGAGCGTCACCAAGAAGGAAGAAATACGGTCCTCTATCGTAGTTTCAGTTTCAGTTTGGGAAGGACAGGAGGCCCGATGGCCTGTGTTAGTCCTGGCAGTGGTGGTCCCTCATTTGATCCAACGTTCTTTTGAAAGAATCGACGGATGGAGTCTCAACCACGTGCTGAGGTAATGAGTTCCACTCGTTGATGATTCGATGGGAAAGTCGATAGTCAGCTGACAAGTAATTTGTTCTCGGCTTGAGAACTTTTTCGGAATGTCCTCATAAATTCTTTGTTTTGGAAGACAAGAAAAATGAGGGCACATCAGGTGCAAATTTGGCACTAAGCAATTTAAAAACTGTAATCAAGTCGCCTCTAGTTCTGCGATAAGACAACGGAAAAAGGTTCAGCTTGGCCAGTCGAACTTCATACAGAAGCTTCGCTGTTCCGGGAATCGGCTTAGTTGCCGTTCTCTGAACCTTTTCGAGAAGCTCACTGTCTTTTTTAAGCAGGGGCCGGTCGCTTGTATGCAGTACTCAAGTTTAGGACGTACGAACACTGTATGCAAACTCGAAAACGTCTTAGTGTCGACATGACTAAAAGCGCTACGTATTGACCATAACGTTCTAAAAACTTTGGGGGCTATTGCACGGCAGTGTGTAGTAGTCTTCAAGTCTTGGCTAACGATGACTCCTAAGTCATTATATGTCTGGACGACAGGTAGCTCAGTGTTATTCATCGTGTATGTATCTGTACCTTGATGACCGATATGCATCACAACGCACTTGGAAATATTTATCGGCAACTCCCAAGTTTGAGACCATTCAGATAATTTCTTCAGGTCATGTTGGAGTTCTACACACAAGAGGAATAGCACTGGCCCAAAAGCTGTCCTGGGGCACTCCACTAAGCACAGTTTCCCAGCTAGATAATTTTGAGTTCACTCGAACTCTTTGTTTACGCCCAACTAGGAAGTCTTTTATCCACATAAATATATTGCCTCCAAACCCGACATTTCTTAACTCATATAACACCCGGTTGTGCGGAACCTTGTCAAAAGCTTTGCTGAAATCAATGAAGGCTACGTCTACAGGTAACTTTTGGTCCATAAGAGCGCACCAGCTTTCACGAGCCACTAATAAGTTAGTGAGACAGAAAATACTGAATTTGTGTGTCAGTATATTAATTTTTCCCTTACCTATTCTTCCGTCAATGTTAGCATTTAGACATCGAGTTATAACAGTTGTTTGGACCCGTGTTCGACCGACTATATAGCTTTCGATTTTGAAGTTCCTGGTATTTACGGCTTTCTTACGATGAACTTTGATCGAGTGAGCTTGGCTGACTAGGATATGACTTATGAAACCTTTGCTGCTATTGACTCGGAATATGAGTAAGTGCTTTACTCGTGACACAGACACGGAATCTACAGAAATCGATAGCTTTCCATTACCCGTAATATTGCTGATCGTACCGATGTTTGCATGAAGTAGAAATAACTACGTACATTACTTCCAAGCAACTTCCTATATACCTTACTGGCATAAACCAATATATTCTAAAGGGATTGGAGGAGAATTTCACATTGACTAGCCAGCGATTCTTTTATTTATTGAATAAAGCCATTAATAATAATAATAATAATAATAATTTCATGTACCCAGGTATTTACTTAGATATATAAATGACCCACTGCTCCCAGACACGAATGATCGCTAATAAAAATCTTCTATTTCGTTCATAATCACTTGAACAATTCAAACGAATTCGTCTGGCTGTTATGAATTTGCCTATTGTATCGATTACTGAAGGCAAGCCAAAATGATTGCGGGTGTTTAAAGGTCACGTTACATAACGCGACCTTGAAAACCCGTGTTGTTGACTTCCATATGGTAAGAAAGTCATTTAAGACTTTTATGTGCAGTGCTTTCGATCTCTTTTTGTTAGCGAATTTGCAGTACATTTTAATTTTTCCACCGAGCTGCCGACTTACATTATCATTAATTTTTCAGATCCTTCAGCATAAAAGAAAGTATAGACAGGGTTCTTCACACCCTCATTACAACATATCTTCAGATTGGATGCACTCCTGCTGAAGAGTGAAAGTTACAGTTATTTTGCATCTTGCAGCATATATGACTCCGGGATGTTTATCAATAAAGATATTCTCTCTAGATTATTACTTTGCGTTGCCAAATGATTTACTGGATATAGGGTATTCAAAGTTTGCAAGATGTTTTTCACATCGAATCCCGATTATTCGAGTTTATGGCACAACACATACAGGTAACTTAAATATGCTTTTACAAGTTTCTCAGGCCAGAAAATATGTGCCAATGTACATGGGGTTTTGCCGTACATTTTCGTTGAGCTGCCAAATGTGGAGTCAGATATTCACGAATTCGTCCAGTCATTTGTTCTCAGCCTTGAAAAATCCATTCGTGCAAAGCTTAGCACTCTTAATGTCAAAGATGTCATAGTTTTTGACGCTGCCGTGGTATCTGGTTTGTAAGTTAGGTTCGTATTTCACCCCAGTATAGTTCGATATACGGTTATCATGAATCAAAAAAACCTTTCATCAAGCTTTACCTTGTGGACCCCAGTTTGGTTTCCGTCTGTTCCGAGATATTGCTGAGTGGGGTCGTATTAAATCGCCCCTTTCAAACTTATGAATCACATATTCCATACCTATTACAGGTTTCATCGTATAAATTATATTATTTGGTTGTAGTTTTGTGTGGATTATAATCTGTTCGGTATGAACCTGCTTTATGCAGGGTATTTCAGATTCCGTAGTAAGTGTACAGGTTCATTTATAGCTTGTAGCCTCAAATTCTGTAGGATTTCCGTCGTTGGTAAGGAGCTCGGAAAATATATGGAATCCCAAAAAATTTGGTCCGTAAGTTACTACAATTATGTGTTTCACACTTTAATCAATAACTGCGTGATGGGTGGGTAATGAAACTGGAATTGATCCAAGTATCACTAAGTGTCTGAATATTCTAACAGCCCCAATGTGCTCGCGTTCACTGTCATGAATAATTTCAAGTAATTGTGTAACACAAACTCAGAACTATAGACTTGTCCCTCCATATTGTAAGGCACTTTTATTCTAATTTCTCCACTCCATTTTCACTGTATATATAAATCCTGAGTGCTGTTGATTGTTCACACCTTTCTTCGATTTCATCTCTTTTTCCCGAATTATATTCCTGATGTCTAGTCTATTTTACTAGTACAGACAACTGTCACGACTACTCGTCTCGTTAACCCCCTCCTAGTATACTGATTTGGTATGGTAGCGTGCGGCGATTCACGTTTTTGCCAAGTTCTAAGCTGTTTATATCTGAATTATTAAAAGCATAGAAAATTACTTCATCTATTGTTATTTTGGACAAAGATAAATGTAAATAAACTTATTTTATATCTTATTTATCAAGATATGGAATTGTCTCTTGGGAATGCGCAACTGACGTGTAGAGACAAAGAAATTGTTTGAAGAAACAATTGATATCTTCTACTAGTCGTATGCACAGGAAATTAAACAACTAGCTAGTTGTAGTTCATTGCCTAGTCATTGGCTTATTGTCGATTAGCATTGATAGCCTTAACTTCGATACCAGAAACGGTTATTTTTACTGTATTTACAATATAATTATTCAGGGAGTTGTTAAACTATTTTTCTGCGTTACCTTTAATCTGAAGACATAAAAAATGCATTTAGCAACTGTTGGACTTATTATTGATTTATCCTATACATACCATTCATTTTGACCTTGTTAAGAGCAAAACTGATAAATGTTATAGAAAATTCTAAGCGCGTTGATGGCCCCTTAGCCCATAGAAATCATAAATTTAAAAGTAAATAATATAGTCATAAAGTTAGTTGGCTTTGTTGACTGTATTTGATGAACCATATGAAAAAATAACACATGACTGCTTTTACAAAATGTTGAATTAATAGTCTAATTTTATATGCAACGCTCTTACGATTCTTCTTTCTCATGCTTTTAAATAACGTAAGAAATAAGAATTGTATACAAAATGTAAGCTAAGTAAATTGTGGGTTCCCTGAATATGATATCTTAATCGAAGAAATGATTAAAATAAGTTTATCAAGAGAATTTATTCTGCATTCGATAGGAATACGATATTTTTGACTTGGCTGTTATTCCTCTTTAGAGTTTTTAGTCGACCACAAGTAGTTCTGTCTAAATCAGGCAATCATATTTCCATTGTGATGGTGGTTGGAGGTAGTCAACAGGAAACCCTGGACCCGGGTTTCGTGCTACTTGGCACTCGTCAGCAAGGTGTACCTGTAATCTTGAGGGAACTGGTGCTCCCTGGCGGATTCGATCTCGTGTCACCCAGCTTCACAGTCAGAGACGTTACCACGAGTAGAGAAAGTATGAATTTTCGGGAGTCATTTGTAAAAGTCTCCAAATGTCCTGGTACGGCCGAGAGTGGGGAGAGCCAGCGCTCCATCTCGAAAAGCTCTCACATGGTCACATGCATACAACCACTGCCAGGGAAGCTCTACTCACTGCCATCTCGCGGCATTATTACTGTTTACAATATTGAGAAGACGGAAAGTGAATGTTCAACGCGGAGAGTCCACCTAGGGGAGTTGGAAAACCTTGATTCCAAACTAATGGTGTACATGGGCTCCAGTATCTTGAAGGAACAAATTGTGTATGAACTAATCGTTGGTCACCAACTGCCATGGGACTGCATCACCTTACGATACTCCATTGCCTTGTGGATCAAACTTTTAGGTCGAAGGCTCCGGGTGTGGCTCCCTACGCAAACCACCTGCTTCGGTTTGGGCACCCGGTCAGTATCCCAGCCCTCACTCAAATTGAATGATTTATGTGGTGAATATCTATTTTGCTGCCTCCTTATACCAATGTTTATGCGTTTAAATACATAATAAATAAATTTATATCTGCATATTTTTTTCCTTGGTTTAGAAATATACTTCCGACAAAATAATGTGAATTTATATTATCAAGTGTGTTAGTGAACAATATAATGGGTTGAGTTTTTTATAAGCTAATCGCTATTAATTTATCGGTACATAACCTTGTCAACATTCTTTATTTATTCAGGGAATATCTTCTATCACCAGACTCTATTCCGAAATGTACAAGTATGGAACTAGAAGTTGATATATCTGCTTGGGACATACTGAATCGTCGAGATCTGCAAGGTTTGTTCCCGGTGAAAGTTTTGAAAATATAACTATGAAGTAACTTTAATGAGTTTACGCTTACCATAGTATATATTTCACAATTCTATGGTCTCATCTTTCGAGCCTTATCTTGTGTTGGTACATATGTACATAGATTTTGTATGAATTCTTATATTATTTACTTATATATTGTTATCCTTGTTGTCATATAGTAGTCTTCTAATTGTATTTACTTCATCTGACATCATGTTTTTGTTTTAATTACACATTTTAAAGATAATTTATCTATAAATCCTGGCCTAGAAGCTATGTGGCATGAAGAGAAAATGCGTCGTGCATCAAAATGTAACATTTCAAATGAAAGACTACCTGAAATGCCTACTCCTGATGAATTATTACCAATTAAACGTAAGCTTATCACATTTCGATGTTGTTAATTGTTCATATTATAATATTTTTAATCATGTCATCAAACATTTTCTTCTTGATCATCTTTCATTTGATATCCTTATTACTTCCAATTTATTAGAGAGTGGTGTAGTTGATTTGTCAACAAGTGAAATGCATTGTCTTACTCAATGGACTAATTTACTTTATGATCAATATACATCTTTGGAACTTCAACAGGATATAAACTGTACAGGTAAATTTTATTGGATATTATTTAAAGTTATTTTTTGTTTCTTTTCCATATTTATTTGTTTATTTATTTAAACACATAAACATTGGTGCAAGGAGGCACCAAATACATATGCGCCACATAAATCATTCAATTTGTGTGAGGGCCTTGATACTACTCGGGTGCCCAGACCGAATCAGGTGGTTTTCTTAGGGGACCACACCTCGAACCTTGGACCTAAAGGTCTGATCCACATGGCAGTGGATAATCGTAGGGTGAAGCAGTCCCATGGAAGCCGGTGACCAACAATTGGTTCATACGCCATTTGTTCCCTCACGATACTGGAGCCCATGTGCACCATTGATTTGGAATCCGGTCAAGGCGCCGAACATTCGCTTTTCGTCCTCTCAATTTCGTAAACAACACCCCCGCCACGAGAAGGCAGTGAGTAGGACTTCCCTGGCAGTAGTTGTATGCACGTGGCCATGTGAGAGTATTTGGAGATGGAGCGCTGACTCTCCCCACTCTCTGTATTCATAAGATTAGCTTTTCATATGGATGCAAATTATAATCTAAACAATCTGATGGCACACTACATATGTATATTTTTATCATTGCAAATAGTGATCCTAGAAAATTGTATTAGGAATTTTCTTTTGAGTTTTATAACTCCGGGATCTCGCTGTATGTGTTAGTGTTTTCGCTGAATACCCGTAAGTCTAACACTCCTTTCATCATATATAACCTATATGTAATCACAATGATCAAACCATACATACTTGGACGGTATTATTCTGGACTCAATAATTCAGTCATGAGAATTAACGATGGGATAGTTTTGATAAAATAACTGTGAATCCATTGATATCGGTGCCTAAATAAGAAAATCAGCATGCATTGGAATGCGGGTACATACAATTTGTCCTACAATATATCGGTTTGTTTTTTTTTCACTACAAAGTTTATTATCACAAATCTGACTACTGTTACTTGAAGTTCCTCTAGAACGATCAATTACTGATCTATATAGTATTACTGATATGTAGTCCTGATTATGATCGAAAGGAAACTTTCTCAGTGACCAATAAACGATCTGTTTGTGTATGATCATATGAAAATGAACCCTTTATCCTACATTAAGTATTCACTTACTAATTTGTTATTGTCTTTAAAAAATACCGTTACCTCTTTAATTTTTTCGCCTAGCGAACAAACAGTAAATCGTGTTTTACTGCACGAACTTGGTACTCCATTTGCAATTCGGTTAGCAGAACACATTTTGCCATATATTTATACTGTAGTGAACATGAACTCAGATAGGGAAAAACAATTCATCGTTTTATGCAAAATTACACAGTAATTTTATCAAATATGAAAATCATGCATTAAATACATTATTTGCATATCTTCCTTCAGTTGTCCCTTGCTGTTAGCGGTACATAGATTGGATTAAACCATGTTCCATGCACGATTGCGTTTCTGCACGCCGATTGGCTAATTCTTATCCAATCAACGCTAGCCAATACTTGGGTAACTATACTAACAAATCTTATTATTCTCCTTACTTCCATTTACCCTCGTTATTTGGAATATAATCTCTTCTCTGTTCAACCGTGTTCTAATTTGGGGACTTGTCGGGCGAATTGGTGTCCAAGACTACTAAGCAATCGGAATAGCTGGGTCGTAATAAGAGAAAATTATAACACATGCATCACGACTCCACCAATTCAGTCGTTAGTTCAATTGCTTTCCGATTCTCTTCCTGTTCTTTTGATTTCAGTTTTATGCTGCCAGGTATTTCACTTCTTACTGCTGCTACATACTACTTATATCTGTCAGCATAATTAGCACATACATCACAATACTACCATTGATTTCAGCCTACCAACGTGTTTGATTTTGAAGTGGCTTTACGTTTTCTATTTCTAGGTGCTCAGATTGAAGGTTCTGTTAGTGGAATACAAACCTTTACAAATTCCATTCCGTTTGTTATACTGGATGTTTACTCTACCTCCTATGAATGATACGAATATCACATTAATACATATACTGACTAACTTAGTGACATTGAAGAAAAATTATTGAAAAAAGTATTAATAATTAGACTATCGAAGATAGTCTTGTTTAACAAACAGAGATGATAATTAAAGTTTGAAAACACTCAAGTTTGGGTCAATATTCGAATAGACTTTCTTTACATCATCTACCATCTAATTCAATCACTAATGCATAGGAAAGTCAACTAGAAAAATTAAAGGGGAAAGATTGATGTGTTTGTTAAGTGTTATCATTATTATTTCAACGGAAATAAATGGGATTTGGGTTATCTGTAGAATTGTCCCATACTATTCTCAATAAATCAATAATAAATAATATTTTTAATGAAAAATGTCTTCAATTTATACAATTATCTGTATGAAAAGTAAAAGTGGTGACTTGGAGGCAAAGTGTTTGGCTTCCAACGATTCTGTCACAAGTTCGAACTTTACTCAACTTGGCTTTGATCAACTGTATAGTAATAGTAACCATTATATAAAATGCGACTGTAAACCGAGATCACAAACCTGTACTTGGTAATTGGGTTTCATTACTCCCTCAAATGCCCTGGTACAGCCGAAGGTGGGAAGAGTTCGCTCTCCCTCTCCAAATGCTCTCGCATGGCCACGCGTGTACAGCCATTACCCCAGGAAATTCCTATCCACTGCCTTCTCGCGGCATTATTGTTATTTACGAAATTGAGAAGACGAAATGCGAATGTCCGGAGCTTCAACCGGGTTGGTGGATACGGAGGATCTACCTAGGGGAGTTGGAAAACCCTGATTCCAAACTAATGGTACACATAGATTCCAGGATCCTGAAGGAACAAATGGCGTATGAACCCATTGTTGGTCACAGGCTTCCATGAAACTGCATCTCCCAACGTCGCTCCATTTCCTTATGGATCAAACCTTTAGGCCGAAGGCTCCGAGTGTGGGTACCTAGGAAAACCACCTGCTTCGGTCTGAGCACTCGAGTAGTACCACAGCCCACATACGAATGAAGTGACTTGTGTGGTGTGTATGCATTTGGTGTCCCTTTGCACCAATATTTATGTTTTTTTAAATAAACAAAAAAAAAACAACCCAAAAACATGTAAATAGATACATTAGTGTACAGTTTTCTACTTAGCTTAATATATAGAGATCATTTTCTATGTTTTAAATTTTCTTGTGTTCAGATTCATCTGATCCGAATGAGTACATTTCTAATTGGCTTGAATCCAGTCAAACAGATGATGATAATTTTGATTGTGATTATGACGATAATGACGACAAACTGGACATTAATTACAAAGAGGATGCTTCCGAAGAAGTTAATAATACTCAATTGTCCGCTACTGTTCAACATACTCAAGAATCAATTGATTTAAAGTCTCCCATTAATAGTACTCTACAGCAACCGCTAGTTAAAACAAAATCAGTTAGTAGTTTTACAACGATAAGTTCAGCTGGTTTAGAAGACCTTTGTCGTTTAGCCAATGCAATTGAAGAATTTGATGCATGGGTACCAACACCCGAACAATTGGATCAGTTGCTTAATAATGTAGAATATCCCGCAGAAGTTCATTCTTCGTTGAATGCAACAAATATTCAGCATCCTCGACTATTGGCTGATGATGATGATGATGATGATGATGATGATGATGATGATGATGATGACGATTGGATTTGTAGTCCTACTGAATTGGCTAAGAACAAAATATTTGATAACAATGTAAGAAATAATGAGTTATTTGTTTATTCATTAGTTTGTTCTCATTTTTTAACCTGGTTACGTTTACACCTATTAAAATAGAAAGACATGAAGTGACCGAAGGAGTAAAATCACTTTAAGGTTATCATACGAAGTTTTAGTAACATCCACCTTGTTTAATATTGGAGTTTCTATTCCTCTGCTGACGTTTTAGGATACCGATTGATTGCTACATCTATCAGTCAGTCGCATTGAATTAAAGTTACGTGTTGAAACTCGTCAACAATTTATCTACGTTATATATTTCCTTATACCCTATCACATTCAACCATGTTTTGAAAGTTTTAACTTAACTGGATTACTATTGATGGTCTTATCAACCTAATAACATGAATATGGAACCTAAGGCAAACCTACTCAAGACCGGTCACACAAGTTTTCCGAGAATATTTAATTTTAATGCTGTCAAGGTACGTTCCATAGATAGCAAACCTCACGATTGTCCTCAGAATTCTCATAGTATGATGTGTGAGTAATGTTCTCCTAGCCAGATCTTCAACTCCATCAGATCATGGGGACGTAATGTTTCTAGATATACTGGTCATTGGTCACTATACTGTGTTGCAGTCAACTATACAACTTGGGTGTTGGGCCCAAAATCTAATCGTTTCTATTGTATTTCCCTTCAACTGTCTGTCACGTTATGACATCACCAGGAAGTATGTGTTATAGCTAACACAAATCATCAAGATTTTCTTATTCAATTGTGATTAACATAAGCTTAACATATTAGTGTATATAATTAGAAATAAGCGATTTCTGATATATTTATTATACATTGTTTCAAGGTTTTGAACAGTACTTTGATTAGTCGAAATTCAGTCATCGACCAGTCCAATGTCAGTGGTATAGACAAAGGACAGGATGATGACAAAACTTTAATTTTAAATGCAGCACAATGTGCTCTGTCGTTTGTATGCAGTCAACAATCGGGGGTAGATAAACCAACAGTTGGAAGTCTCTGTGCTACAAAAAATGAGATAACTGAAGATGATGAGTGCATGTCTCAACCTGTTGGAAGTTATTTGGATAGTGATGATCTATTCTACTCTATAAATCATTCTAATGAAGTGTTTATCCCAACGCAAGATTTGGAATCACTTCATGAAATCGATGAGGATGATGAAGAATCATGTGATGTGTTCCATTTAAATTCAACTCCTTTACAAAACAAGAATATGAATGAACAAATTTTCCATGCACAGGATGAATGTACATTCTCTAATTCTCCTATAATTCTTTCACCTTTATGTCGGTCTGCAGAAAATTCTCCACCAGATGTCGCTGGGAAGATTTTGAAATCTAACTTTCAAGTTGATAGTGTTTCAGATATACTTTTTGATTCTTGGAGTTCTGAAAGTGATACTTCAAAGTCAGGGTGAGTTGATACATACTTCTAACTAGCAGTATGTTGTTTGTTAACCCATTTCAGCAGTAAAGAACCAAATGACTGATTATTCTAATGACTTTTCTTAACTACTCAGTTAGCTTGGTTCATGTACGCAGGTAAATAACCGATAAAGTCTCAGCGGAATGATTACGTAGTCATATCCACCATCTCTGAGTGCATTGAAATACCTACATAAACATGAGTTCAATCAGTGCTTACAACGCAAATTTTTGTGGCAAGAATGGAAGAAATATTTTGTCATTTTATCTTAGCGCTACTCAAATCATTCAGGCTATATCTCTGTTAAACGAACAGAGTCATCTTTAAACTACTTTACCTTTTCGTTTGCTAATTTTTTATTACGCTAATATCGCCCATTAGGTAAGCTTACATGACATGTTTTCCCCATCTTTTAAGAACAAAAAACCATACTATAGCTACTGGTATGTGGTACATAACTTATACGCTAAACATATCAAAGGGGTGTTTCCGGAAATGTTTTATCCAGTTATAGTTCATAAGTTCAAAATACTTCCAAATATTCCCTAACCATATTCTAATAATTTGTTACTTGTCGCATACAATCGCTAGACCTGAATATAATTTTGTTTTTTTAAATGAGATCTAATTAAATGATCATTTCTTATCTGACTTGACAGTTTGTGCCTCTAGTGAAGTACTACCGTCGTAAAGGAGAACATAGATGAGGACAACCGATTATATTTAACATAAAATTACCGAGTTACTTAATAAAATAGAAAAACCATTCTCAGAATTCATTGTTACGGCATTTCCATACCAATTGCTTTCTGTTCCGGTTCAATCTTCTGCTACCAGACATTCTGTTCCCGACTAGCGTTATATACTACGTATGTCGATATAAGTAACACACACCATTACCATTAAGAGCACAAAGCCCATCAGTTTTTTCATATTTCCGGTCAAATTTCATCTTAAATTAATAAATTGTATTTGATTGAGATCATAAACCGATTGATGTTAGACCACCATTAAAAATCTGGAAGCACTGGACGGCCGTTTCGTCCTATTGTAGTACTCCTCAGAAATGCGCATTTACGATCCCGCACGCGGGATTCGAACCCAGGTCCTTCAGTCTCGCGTGCGAGCGCCCAACCTACTGGGCCACTGAGCCGGTATCCAATGGTGTCAATGTCTAACCTCAGCCAATCCACGAAATTACGCGACCATCTTCCATTGTACTGACCATGATCTCAATCAAAAACTTAATAATCTCCATAAATTGTACGTAGCATATGTAACTAACGTAATATTATCGAATGAAATTCGTCTTAACATAAACTAATTTAATTATCATTTAACTATTAATAACTCTTCTGACTTAGTTTAAGAGAAAGAGAATGAGAGAGACTTAGATTTATGACCATTTAAGCTCGTGACAATAGAGTAATCACTTCACAGGGATATATTATTTATTATTATGATAAAATATTTTAATATGTATTCATACTACTTATTTGTCTTTCATCTTAATTTGAATAATATCATTTCAGTAATTGTATACCTCAAGTCGATGGAAACGTGGATACATTTCACACTGATAGTGATGGTGATAATCAGAGTAGTAGTACAAGTACTTATTCTTCAAATACTACTGGTTAGTCATGTTATTCAGTACTATTTGTAATAATCATATATAATTGATGCTTTTTAAATGTTCAGACAAACTATAAGCAAAATAACAATCCCTAATTTCACATACATTTCATTATACAATCTACTGAATCATGAATTCCCATTTGAAATTGGGAGAGTTACTTAAAAGTCAACTTCATAGAATAATAATCTAAAAGTTTTGAAAATTGTATTGTCAGTAGACTCTTGACTATCTTGAGAAAATATATTGTATGCACGATAGACAGAAATTAGCCCGTCCTCCTTTTCTATCCTTGTTTCTTCCCTATTCAACTCATTTTTTTGTATATTAGTTTATGTACTATCGTTTTTTAGCGAGTTAGTGTTTGACGGGAAGGGGTCGTCAACCCCATACCCAACCCTCCTCCTTTATACGGACTTAGAACTGGCAGCAGCCCCAGAGGGGCTTCAGGCGGGGTTTCGAATAATATTTGAGCGTATGGTGTAACTCACGTTTATTTATTGTGTAATGTACTAAAGTATTTACACAAACTAATAACATTTACTGTATTTATTATTTCAGTTGCTTTTTGTTAACCCCTATAAAAATTGTTTACGGTTTTGTATATTCCTTGGATCTTCGTGTAAATACAACAGTCTCAATGTTTACGTGCTGTTAGTCCCCATTTTGGTTGTTGATAAATTGTTGTTAACATTAGACACTACTACCAATTGTCGTTCATGCTATCGTATGTTGTAATTACCCTTTATGTCATAATTACAGGGAGCGTTCGTCTTTACACGCATACAGGTGCGCAGGTGCCTCACAAGTTGATGTTTGTAACCAAGTTATGTATATTTCTTAATAATAGTGTAGAAGACAATAGGCAGGAAGAATGTATATTTGTTGCGAGAAGTTACGTGGTATTTACATAATACATACACATAGTCTTCAATTGTTCATGTGCATCTTTCGGTGTGTTCTGTCATCCGAACTGTTTTCTCTTTTGGTCTCTAATTCTTCTGCTGGCACCGCGCTCTCGATGTGCTGAAACTCTTCGCTCGATTTGACAATTGTTGCAACTTCGATGTCACCTTCCGCTATATACTACTTGCAAACAATCCTGTAAGTAGCGTCCACTACAATAGAACCGTTCTTTAAACAAATTGTTTTTTTTTTAATATCGGTCTCACACATATGTCAAACGTATATTTGAACACTTCGACATAGTCAACAATAAATACGAGCGCAACCCGACTACAATAGAATGTTAAGAGAAAAGACATATAAAACATAAAACATTGAATTGCTTTTGTTCTGTGTTCGATGTTCTCCCACTTTAACAAAGGCTGAAATCCGTAACGAATGTAGATTCTGTGAATCTGAAGAATGGTCAAATTTTATTAGAAAGATTAACATCTTCCAAAGAGAACAGATCATTATAGATTAGCTCAGTCATTTCTGTCCATAGATGTGTAACATTATAGACCGTACTGAACCTCAATAACAAGATACGACACTGACAAAGACTATAAAAGACTAGGATGAATGATTTGCTGATAATCAGAATCTTTCACGCTGAGAATGCTCAACTTTCTCCGTCGAAATTTCTACTGAAAAACCACAACTTCTAGTCAACACTTGCAACTCTCCTTGTGTTTGTTTGTTTTCATATTTTCTTTCTAGAATAGTATCTACTTGTTGAAAAGTGTCTTACAATAAAAACATTTTCGGTTTTCATTAATTGGCTTTATTAATTAGCTTAGTAATTCGATTATATGTTTTCCTATTGACACTTAACATTCTCTTCCCATTCAACTATAATAGTACTGAAAGCTAAAGGTGAAAGAAATCGTCCTAGAAAACGTCGACGTCTTAGTCTACGTTTACCGAGAAAACACATTTCAACTACACAAATTACGAATACACAAAGTACTTGTACAACAACCTCAATTATATCGTCATTTAGTTCATCTAGCCTTCAATTGAATGATATTGATACTAGTGTTTCTACTGATAATGTTTCATTGAACAAATCAACTTCAATTGTAAACAAAAATCAATCTGTTTTTGAAGAAAACTTACTCACTGATCTTAACAACTCAACAACTTGTCATTCTTCTACTGTAATAAACTATTCAGTAGTAAGTTGTTTTATCACCAATTTTACTCTTACTTATAAATATCATCCAGCTAATAAAAGTTGGAATTTTGTCGGTCTCAATAAGGTTTTTTTCCTAAGTAAAACATAGAAGTTAATAGAAAACATGAGGATTAAATAGGTGAGTATAACGATAATATCAATTGTAGTATTCTCAAAAAAAGTTTCCCGTACGTATATCTTATCATTCCATTTATCCTATCCGATCATTTTTTGTGTACTACATTATATTACTTAATAATATTTCAATAGTTAAGATCATGAATCAATTGAAGCTAGATTACCAAGGTAAATCTAGAAGCACTGGACAGTCGTTTCGTCCTATTGTGGGACTCCTCAGCAGTGCACATCCATGACTCCGCCTCGCGGGATTCGAAACCAGGACCTATCAGTTCAACCGGGTCAGTTGTGAGATAGTAACTCACTGAAGACTGATGGATGTGTCGCTCAATTTCGTGAATTAGTTGAAGTTAGAAATTTACACCGTTGGACGCCGGTCGGCTCAGTGGTCTACAGGTTAAGCGCTCGCGCGCGAAACTGATAGGTCCTGGGTTCGAATATCGCAAGACAGGATCGTGAATGCTCACTGCTGATGAGTTCCAGAATAGAACGAAAAGACCGCCCAGTGCTTCCAGATTTACCATGGTAGTCTAACTTCAATTGACTCGTGGTCTTAACTATTGAAATTACTATAATCTCCACGAAACCCCTTCTGATATTAACAATATTTAGGAACTAATTTCACTTTCAGTCGTTTTTGGGAGATCAGCATATGGTTACTGTATAAGTATTCACACGAATTTATGCCGTTGAATCCATTTATTATTGTAATTATCGCTTCTTAATACTTTTAGCAGCTACTTTAAATTCGTAACAGTTCCCATTGTCTATGTAATTAGTTCGCATTTCGATTGTTGATTGCTTTTGTAGTACTGACATAACAACTGTCTATTACCGACTTGATCATATGTTTTTGCTAACAATTCTCACACAATTATTGCAGTGATAACTTTTTCTTTGATTGTCAATTGAATCAGTAAGCGCCTTAGTTTATTTATTTGATCACATAAATATTGGTATAATGAGGCACCGAATACATATGCCCCACATAAGTCACTTGATTCGTGTGTGGGCTATGATTACTGCCAGGGTGCCCGAATCGAAGTAGGAAACACCTTAGATATTGCACTAATTAAAGTTTATAAACATCTCGCTTATTTTGTTATAAGTAGTATCGTATTCTAGATAAATCTACTTTTTTGATCTTAGGATTTTATAAATCACTTAATCGTTTCATTGAAAGCATAGAACGAAATTAACCGAAGCGTTAATTAGTAGGATTATGAAGATTAAACTTGATAATTTCAAATAGATTGAACATTGGGTAGGATATTGGTAATAATATAAAGATACTTCCTTGACAACGCTTTTAGTAGAAACTAGGATTTCTAATATTTTATGACTTAATGTAAGTTACTTCTTCTGATTAAATAAATAACCTGATCATTTATTTATTTCATTCCCTGTTTATTTACTCTTAAGAAGTGATACACTAAGTCATAAAATGTCAGGGAAAATGAGAAAAATTGATGAAGGAATGCTGAGATCAGATTAATCCACCACTCTATTGTAACCTGGATTACTCGTAGACCCAAACCTCGAGGCACTAAAATCGTAAAGGAATCCGCTATGTTGTATGAGTCCCGGTTTGTGTAATTATATATATATATATATATATATATATATATATATATATATATATATATATATATATATATATATATATATATATAGGTCTATGCAAAGGATACGTGCCGGGCTTGCCTGTACCGTATCAAACTACACAGCTTCCCCTATGTCTTAATCAAATAAAAATGCATAGCTAATCAAGGGAAAGGAAGCAATGAACATCAACCCTCCCTTAGGGCGTTATGCCTATGTGTGTACCATGAAGTTCGTAGGCGAAAGTCTGCGTACCAATTCTATTCAGGTAAAACAGAAGTACCAGTTGTTAAAGTAGCAACTATATGTGTAGGGATGAGTATTCCTATGTGTATCTCACGGGATTTATGCATGAAAGCGCATATTACCGGTGTTCATGTAAAGTATACCTATTGCAGGTGCGACGCCCGAGCCCCTAGATCCAGTTTTTTTAAACATTTTCATCATGAAAACAAATCCACATAATAGATTTATTTGCCTTGAAATGCTATATTTCTGTCAGCAAAGCTAATTGGCTTTCAAATTACACCTATGGATTTTTAATGCATCAACCGATTTGGTTAAATATCCTTTTTTTTGCTTTGAACGAAAATGTCTTGCTGTGATCACTGCATCTGAAGGAAAACATTTTAATTTTTCAAATTTCTTTTCTATAGTCTAACAGTAATAATCTATCAAATCCTGTTGTTCTTCTTGAACGTTTACCATCACATTTTGAGGTAGCTGAAACATCTTTTCAACAATCAGGACGTTTAACACCCCCTGAAGAATTTTCAGATCTTGAAAATACTATGATAGCCAATTCAGAGACACAAATGAATTGTTCGTCAGTTGTTTTGTCTGAACAACTACCTTTATTTTCTTCATTTCATCATGACTTTCCAGATACCACATGTTCACCATATACTTCCAGTTTATATACAGATAAACTAAGTGTTTGTTCACAAACACAATTATCGCCGTTTAGTGGTATAGATCACCGATCTACAATTCAATCAAAAAAGACATCATCATCTTCACTCTCCTCTACTCCATTTTGGCGTCCAGTATATCCAGCACCAAGATTAGAGGTTGTAAATAAGTGGCTTAAACAATCAAAAACATCACAGGATTTTAAAAAGTCAAAAGTTGTGAAGGAAGATTTCGTTTGTACAGATTCACAATCAGAAAATGATAAAGCGATCAACCTTTCGAATGAGTTATTTCCACAGGTAATATCTGTATTTCGAAGTCTAAATACTTTTTAAATTTCTTCAAGTTCTTGATTAAAATTATGAGATGGTCATTTAAAATCCCTTGTTTGACACAAGCGTGAGTATTATATAAAAGATCCTGTAGATGATTGAAAAAGCTTGGACGAGATTGCCAGGCAAAACGTTGGATTTACTTCATATTCATTCAGTGAGATTTTAACAAATACATTCTTACTTCTTAGTGTTTCACATTAACTTGGCGCCCGAATACTGTGAAATTATTCAATCAAATTTAGATGAAAGTTCTTATAGATCCTTTAGACACTTGAAACTCAACCTCACAGTCAAATAAGATCTCGTTAAGTAGCTTAGGTCACGCTAGTTGGTCTCTACTTATCAGTAAGTAATCGTGTACTCTTTAACCTTCAGTTACAGGATCACTTGTATCAAGTTTTCGGTGTAATGAATAAACTAGGCGATTCAACTCTACAGTGCATCGAAAGGTCAAAAAGAGTTTACAGTACAAAATATTGGTATTCAGTTCACTCACCTACCATCTGTCTGTTTTTGAACTTTATTTTCTAAATTGAATAGTTTTATGGAGATCATTTTATTCTGTAGATGTTGTTCATCATATGTTAATTCAAATCGGGACATCATTGAGAACTAGAGAACCTTCAACAGCTGTTTCTACTTGGTATAGTACTCTCTAATTGTGCGCACCCACGACCGTGTAAGCTGTAATCATGGGAATTCAATCATTTCAGTCGTTACCATTGGTGTTAGATAATTGTCACACTTTCATGGATTGTTTGAAGTTGGAATTGTATATTCGCTGAACGGCAATCCAATGGTTTTAATGATTATATTATCATCATGCGATATCAATTATCTAATAAGCCAGATGTTAGGGACAAGTTGTGTCAAAATCTCTGTTCACTGAATAATGTTCCTTGCAATTCATTCGTATTTACAGTATGTCGAAAACGTTAAGGTGGTGATCATTTGAACGATGACTTTAGGCCGACCAAATAATCTTATCATCTTAGACCTTTGGTTCTATTTTATTTTATTTAGATTTGTACGGTTTCCTCAGCATACCTGCTACATTAATGATCGTAATCAATTTATATCCAACTGATGGGTTCCATTCGTTTTCTCTTACTTACTTACTTACTTACTTACGCCTGTTACTCCTCGTGGAGGAGCATGGACCTCCCACCAGGATTCTCAATCGAACTCTATCCTGGGCAATGTCTGCTTCCGATTCCCGACGTTATCTTCTTATCATTACTATTTGTTATTTTGTACTAATTTCAGTTAGAATTAAAATATAATTATATAATACATTAATTATAAAATGGTTCTCTTATGTAATATTTTACAGTGTACACCTGTTAATCTAATATCATCGACTAATAATGAACAAAATACCAATGACGATTATCAAACACTTTTATGTCCACCGGATAATGAACAATCTATTGATACAACACAACATTCAACTGGTAATTCTGTTAGCGTTTTATATCAAGGTGCTAATCAACGTTGTTTCTCATCGGTTCAGGTATGCAATCATGATAAATTGTATACATTTGTGTATGTATTAATTCTGATACAGTGATTGTTTACCGTTGATGTTGTTTGCTGCACTTTTTAATATTCCTTGATACGACGGAAGATAGAGAGAGTCCTCTCTCCCTCTCGAAATGCTCTCGCATAGTCACTCGTATACAGCCATTAATAGGGAAGTTTTACTCATTGACTTCTCGATGCAAGGGTGTCGTTTACAAAATTAAGAGGACAAAAAACGAATGTTCGTCACTTTAGCCGTGTTGGTGGATACTGAGAGTCCATCTAGGAGAGTTGGAAAACCCTCATTTCAAACGAATGGTGCACATCGGCTCCAGGATCCTGAAGGAACAAATGGTGTATGAACCAATCGTTGGTCACCAGCTACCATGAAACTGCATCTTCTAACGTCAATGTTTTATTATATAAAACACTTTGATTTATTGTTATGTTCCAGTATTCCTTCGCAAATACCTTTTCATTCCATCTTTTCAAACCATATTATTAATGACTAATTTTTATTACTGTCATCACTACTGCAATTTTTTCCACTCTTCATCTTGTTACTATCATCATCTCATTGTCACTGTGACGTGAGATATGATAACTGTTTTGATTTTATCACATGATAGGATCGCCAATCTGAACACCGACTTATACAACCTTGGCACTGTGCCAAACCACTGACACGTTAATCAGCAAGAGCAGCCTACAGTCCTAATTAGTTCTTCTCGTTTGGCCCTGTCGGTGAGTGAAGAACACAAATCTCAGCTTCCACTTTATGAATTATGCATTTCAGACATACTTGGCAGACCAGACAGTATCATACCATACGTAGGGAGATCCAGTCCCATGGTAGCTGGTGACCAACGATTGGTTTGTACGCCGTTTTTTACCTCAAGATCCCGCAGCCTATGTTCACCATTGGTTTGGAATGAGGGTTTTCCAACTCTCCTAGATAGATCCTCCATATCTACCAATGTGGTGTGACCTACTTATATTGATATAAGTAGTATATAACGTGCGTTAAAAGAACGTAATGTCCGGCAGCAGAAGATGGCGAAGATCAAGAAAGGAAGAGCAAGAACACAATGCAATTGTAAGAAAACGCATGTACAATGGAATGGGAGACAATGGATTAGTGTTTGCAACGGGAATAGTACAGTTTGATATGATGGAAGGATATTTTGCAAATTGACGATTGACTTTATGGTATTCACATTATATTGAGATAGTCTGTAATTTTTGTGCCAAATACAGTCGATTGTCCCCACCCGTGTTCTTGTTCACTACATTTGGTGTCGCTGCCACCCAGGAGAGGAGGAGTGTGCTGTTCTGCGGACGCCGTTGCGAGCCTGGAGTTGAGGTGCCAGTTGGGGCAGTCTGGTGCGGGGAGGTGGCGTCTGGTGAAGTGTCCTGGCGGGGCGGCGTTGGCTGTAGCGGGTGCTGTCGACGGAGTGGAGCGTCGGGACGCGCGGCTGCTGGGTGGACGTCGGATGTAGATGGCTCAGCAGGCCGGTGGAGTGCGGATGTCAAGCGTCCCAGGTGCCGGGGGGATGTTGGTTGTTGTTTCCCCGGCAGGTCGACAGGGCTGTGGAAGTCAGCGCGCTGCAGACTCGACATCTTGACGGAGAGCGTGGCACAGACTGCAGAGACGGAGAATGTTGCACGGCGAGCATGAACCACCACAAGAACGACTGCTTTAAAGGGGGGGACGAGTGTGGTGTGACCTACTTATATTGATATAAGTAGTATATAACGTGCGTTAAAAGAACGTAATGTCCGGCAGCAGAAGATGGCGAAGATCAAGAAAGGAAGAGCAAGAACACAATGCAATTGTAAGAAAACGCATGTACAATGGAATGGGAGACAATGGATTAGTGTTTGCAACGGGAATAGTACAGTTTGATATGATGGAAGGATATTTTGCAAATTGACGATTGACTTTATGGTATTCACATTATATTGAGATAGTCTGTAATTTTTGTGCCAAATACAGTCGATTGTCCCCACCCGTGTTCTTGTTCACTACACCAACCCGGTTAAAGCGCCGGACATTCGATGTTACTATGTTATCCTTTATCAGTTTTCATTATCAAAAATCTTTTTACTACTCTACAAATTTTTTTCGAATGTTTTTTATTGGAATTTCAGGTGGATCATACAACTGTAGCCAGTTTAGAATTACATTGTTCTAGTCGTTTAACAAAATCACATACTGTATCATCTAATCAAGCAGAATCGAAAATAACCAAAAAATCATTAATAAAATGTGGTCTAATTCCAGATCCAGCTTTTGATCCTATTCAAGTTGCTTGTCTTAGTTTTTTGTATCCACAACAATCATCTACAATAGAATCAACCGATAATACTCATCGAACTAATTTATTTGTTTTAATTCATTCTGAATTATCTAATACTACAAATATCGGATTATTTAAACAATCATTTAATAAATACTGTCATGGATTAACAAATTATGGTTATGGAAATAATAGACATCAATTACAACATATAATTCCTTGTATCATTTGGTGTTCAACTGAATGGAATCTTATATCTTGGATTGTTTATTTAATTCAAACGTAAGTATAAATATCAGTAGGGGTTTTGTGGATATTATAGTAATTTCAATGGTTGAGATCATGATTCAGTTGAAGCTAGACCACCATGAAAAACCTGGGAACACTAGACAACCGTATCATCCTATTGTGGACCGTCCAGTGCTTCCAGCTTTTCCATGATGATCTAGCTTCAACTGACTCATGATCTCAGCCATTGGAAGTAAATACATATAACTGTTCTGTCGACGATTGTGTTGGCGTACGTTGATTGGATAAGAATCAGCCAATCAGCGCTTGCCAATATTTGGAGAAGACTAGAATCTTCTCATATAAAAAAACTATAAATATACTAACGTTTCTCTTATTGTGCTTCTTACTTCCATCTACCCTTGTTATTTGGAATAAAATTTGGCGAGACTATAATTTGTGGATGAACGAATGAGGTATAAGATAACACGTCTTGGATTTCAGCGCGAAATTCTTTATTCATTTGGCTAAATAACGTCTTGACATTTTAGCTGATGTTAGTTCGTGATGAAAACTCTAAATCAAATCCTTAACCTTGTCCATCAATTGTAAATCATAATCCTTATTCTTCAAACTGCTTTATCACCTTGATTTGGTCCTAGTTATTAGGTGGTCACTTGAACGTCGCTCAAAGGTCGTCCATAAATTATATAGTCTCACCTATAACTTCGTTGCTGTTTAACCGTGTTCTGATTTGGGGACTTGTCCAGTTAATTGGTGTTCAAGAATACTAAGCAACAGGAATAACTGGGTTGTTATAAGAGAGGATTATAACAGTAACTTAAGATGGATTTTTATCTGGGATCATATTGATTGATTGTCTTTTGTAGTTGTTTCATGTGATATTTATGAAATGATTTGCTTAGTACTAATATAAGTATAAAATTTAGTTGTATTGTGGTGAACAAAAACTTAGATAAGGTAAAACCAATTCATTGTTTTATATGAATATGAAAGTTTTTACATTAAATGCATCATTTGCATATCTTTCTTCAGTTATCCTTTACATACTTTATCATTCTCCTAATCCTATTGTTATTTTGATTGCTTTCTGCTTTTCCTCCTCCCCTTCTTCGTCTTCTTGTTCTTCTCGTTCTTTCACTCTTCTGATGGTAAGCATTCTGCTTTCAATTCCGGCTACTTACTACTTATTTCTATTTTTATAAGTAGCGTATATCACAGTATGATTTTTTATAACAAGCAATCGCTGAAGATTTCTAGAATTTCAATATTTGAGATCATGAGTCAATTCAAGCTAGACGACCATGGAAAGCCTGGGGGCACTGGGAGGCTGTTTCGTCCTATTGTGGGACTCCTCAGCAGTGCGCATCCATGATCCCGCCTCGCGAAATTCGAACCCACGATCTGGCGGTCTCACGCGCGAGCGCTTAACGTCTAGACCACTGATTTGGCCTGCATCCAATGATGTTAATGTCTAACTTCAACTAATCCACGAAATTGAGCGACACATCCATCATTGTCTTCAGTGAGTTACTATCTCACAACAGACCTTGTTGCACTCCTCTGGTCACTGCTTCTCATTAGAACTCCGGGAAAATACCTCTTGAAACATATGCTGATTGGTATCGGAAGGGTTTCTTTGTGGATAATATAGTAATTTCAATAGTTGAAGCTAGACCACTATTGAAAACCTGGAAATACTGGTCGGCTTCAATTGACTCGTGATCTCAAAAAATTATGGTCCTTAGGTTATCTACTTCTTAAATATTAGAATTTCAAAGACCATGTCCAGTTGATCTATTTTTTAACTGTTTGCTGATTTAGAGTTATAATCATTGTCTTTATAAAAGAATGAGATAGTGTTTGGGTTCTGTTAATGTACAACCAATACTGAACATAATGAATGTTCGGAATGGACAGTGACTATGCTCATACAGTCCACATCTCACTGCTATCTTAATCGATAAATGTTCACAAGCTTGTCAATTGGTTTTTCTCATTTCCAAACTGTATCAGGAGAATCTCTACATGGATCTTTTCGTTATTATACATAGGTGGGCAGTCCTTTAAATAAATAAACATGTAGCTGTTAAACTTAATAAATTCACTATGTAATAACTGAACTAAACAACAAAGCAGATCATTTGTTGACGATAAACTCATGTTATCTAAAATCAAACTAATGTCTATCAAATTTTTAAGGGGATCTCAAAATCATCCATTAATATGATGGATCATATCATATTAGACGATCAATCCTCATAAGTATCATCTAGAAAATGTTGAGCAGTAATGATATCCTCAATGTCATATACTATTAAAAATCCTCGTAATGAATGAAGTAAAAATAGGCCAACATATAGTTTACTACTCAGAGATTAATCATTCTTTGTGAGACTTAAGTACCTTCGTTTCGATCCTCAGTGAGATCATGGATATACACCTTTGAATAGTTTCATAACAAGACAAAAAAACTCTGGTCTTTAATGGTTATCCAACTTAGATCAATCCGTTGCTGTAAACTATATTACAAATATAATGCATATCAATAATTCTTTCTAACTGGTAAATGTTTATTATTCAATTGATTTTTCTAAATAAAACTTTAATTTCCATCTAGATTTGACCCTGAAATATTGATTGGTTATGACATTGAACGGTTTTCATGGGGTTATCTTGTTGAACGTGCCAATCATCTTGGACGACGTACCTTTACTAGAGAATTATCGCGTTTAGCATCAGGTTAGTGTAAATAAGTAAGAGTATAATTATTTTATTATAATTCTATATGATATCATTTCAAACAAGCATCTTATATGGTTATTTAGAACCTACAATAATAATGTTATTGGAAAACACTCCATATTATCAGTCAGTCAGTCAGTAACAAAGTAGAACTTCGTACGTACGTACATCAGTTCGAGTTGCCATACCACATTAGCACAAAAATGCAGTTGTCAATTCAAATCCCGTAGTGGTAGAGGAGGTAAGAGTTTAAGCAGTAATCGGAAAGATTAGGGTTTGAAAATTTTATCCAAAGAATACAATGCAGTGAAATAAATTTGGTAAGACAAAAAAAAGAAAGGAACATGAAGAATTTAGATTAGAATTCGGGAGAACACAAAGAGTGGATGCACCTGCACCATTGCAAACGATTATGAGCCATGCCATTCAAGGTCTCTAACCATCGGATGCTATCATCTCACGGATCCCAACCAGATAGTCTACACCTACCAACATGTCTCAGTCCACGTGTCAGTGACTTCATGGATTTGTGCCATGTTTTGGTGTGGTCGCCCCTAACTTTCTTCCAACCTACTCCTATAACACTGAGGATCGCACGTCGAGGCAGTCGGTCGTTGGGCATACGTAACACGTGTCCCAGCCATCTCAACTGATGAAGTTTCACTACTTCATCAGTGGATTTGTCTTCCTTACCTAGCGCCCGTTTCCTAACAACTGTGTTACTTATCCGGTGGTCCCAAGATATACAAGCAATGTTTCTAAGACACCTGTGATCGAATACTAGTAACCTACGAATATCCTCTACTCTTACTGGCCATGTGTCACAGCTATAAAGCAGGAATAACTGTTACTACTCATAATATACATTGGTAGGAGAGAGAGTATATTGGTATATACGTCAGTGTATGGTGTGGGAAATATATATACACTTAATACTTTTATAATAAAAGACTAATATTTGAACGAAGAATATTCTTTTCGATAAATTCTCTTCAGGTTCTACAATTATCTCATATCCAAATTATTAATCCGAAAAATGGCCAAGTTAAGGGTAAAGTACATCGTTTAGAGCATGTGAATTTAGGATTGTGATAAACAAAATACAATAAAATTGTTAATGTTAATATGACTCATATAAAATGTTAACTTGAATCTGCGTATATGTTAAATGAGAACTGTGATTAGTAGTTTCTACGCGCCCAATGGTTACACCGAAGCTAAAAGATGAATTACCTAGAATGACCACATCATTTTGTATTTATCAGTTCAACTGCTCCTGTGGAGCGAGTTATATTGGTCGAAGTTCTAGAAATTTACATTTTCGTGCTCGTGAACACCTTCCAGCGTGGTTAAACAAAGGTTTGATGAAGAAGGTGAACAGCTCAATATTGACCCATTTAGTACAAACCTGTCATAGTGCCAGTATAAACCAATCTTTTTCAATTATTTATAAGGTAAGTAATTTTTTGCCAAAACTGGTCAGACTGAAAGTCCTTCAAACGGCTGAAGCAGTAGCCATCCGAATGAAGAAACCGGAGCTATGCGTACAGAAGAAATATGTTCAGCCACTCCTCCTCCCCTGGCCAACATCAAGGCCAATTAATCAATCGTAATCTTAACTATTGAATGACCCAATTTGACTATGACCTTTCGTAGTCAATTGTAATTGTCCCTGTTATCTTTATTCATAAATCTTTGTATTATTATTATTATTATTATTATTATTATTATTATTATTATTATTCGTACTATTGGTTAAATATCGTTAATCTCCCCTTTACATGATTCATTCACTTCGCATTCATTCCTCCGTATTACGTCTTACTTATTTGATCGAACTGTAATTGCACTATTATTTCACTCTCATCCTATTTGACCCATATTTAATCTGATCATGAATCTTAACGATTTCACTTAACATATACGCAGATTCAAGTTAACATTCTATACGAGTCATATTAACATTAACAATTTTATTGTATTTTGTTTATCACAATCCTAAATTCACATGCTCTAAACGATGTACTTTACCCTTAACTTGGCCATTTTTCGGATTAATAATTTGGATATGAGATAATTGTAGAACCTGAAGAGAATTTATCGAAAAGAATATTCTTCGTTCAAATATTAGTCTTTTAATATGACGGGGATCTTTAAACTTTTATAATAGTCAATGGCGAAAATGTCAGCGATTAATCTCAGTTGTTTCACTATTGAAAACCGGTGAGTATGGGTGAACTATTTCGTCGTAATTCGTTGAGTTCAAACATATTGGAAATGAAATAGATATAACCAATTGAATAGGGTAATCGACACACTATATTGCAAACTGATTAACCTATTTGTAGTATTACCAGTACTTCAATTATTGATCATACATTATAAGACGACCGAGTAACTATACTGAGGTTAGTCTTAATACTCAATGTAAAAGGGCAAGCTTTTTTATGGGGTTATTGATCTTCATCAACTGATTCGATCAAGAAATGGGTTACACATACTTAACCACCGTTGGAAAGTTCAATATCTTAACCGAACTACTTAGAAAAAGCTAGGGCTTGCTTAACCAATATGCAACATCAGTCCATAAATTCACCAAATGTCAATCTGAGTCGTGTCAGTAGATGTGAAGTACTACGTTGAATTCTGCACGATAATAGTAATCAGTAATTGGAGCCCTTGGGCGAAATGATTCAAAATTTGTTGAAGTATAACTGATTTAGTTTGTGTTGGTCAGGTCATCTAGAAAGGTAATGATGATAGCGTCATGATTAAAACTACCCAGCTCTGAAATGCTATTTGAACAAAATCAATCATTCAGTTTGACAACAATATTCTATCACTAGTCATCATTTTTAAGTTTCACCGTCGTATATGTGTATAACTTTTTTTTCAGACATTATAAACTGCCCTCATTGTCATCAGTGTATTGCTAAATGCATTAAAATAGTTCAAACACCACCAACAACAACATCTTCATTGTCTGCCGCTACTACAAACAGTAGTATTAATAGTTGTATTTTCACTGAAAGAAATAGTCCTTGGCACTTTAATACTCAAGAATTTGTTAATGATCTAAATGACCTATGTAATTGTCCATGCAATCCGTCGTATTCCACAATAGTAACAAACAAACAGTCGGATCATGCTAATAACGCTAATAATTATTATCGTCGCATATGGCCATGTGATTCAGCTGCTGGACGTACTGGAGGTCCATTCGCTTGTCCCGGTCGTGTTGTTCTATGTTTTTGGAGGATTTTAATGCATGAAGTAAGATTTAGTGATATCTTTATTCTTTGTCTCTGTTACTTTATGTGTCTGAGTGTATTTTGACTTATGGTAGAACTTTTGTTTTTATTTATATTTAAACACATAAACATTGGTACAAGGAGGCACCAAATGTATATGCGCCACACTTCATCATTCGATTTGTGTGAGGGTTGGAATACTACCTGGGTGTCGAAACCGAAGCAGTTAGTTTTCATAGGGGGCCAATCCTCGAACTTTTAACTCAAAAGCCTAATTCACAAGGCAGTGGAGCAACGTAAGGAGATGCAGTCCCATGGTAGCCGATGAACATGAATATAGACTCATGCACCATTTGTTCCCTTAGGATCCTGGAGCCCGTGTTCACCATTGGTTTCGAATCAGGGTTTTCTAAATCTCTTCCATACCCGCCAATCCGATTTAAACGCTGGACGTTCTCTTTTCTTCCTTGCAATTTCGCAACTAATACCCTCGCACACGAAAAGTCAGTAAGTAAGTAAGGATTCCTTGCTAGTGGCTATATACACGTAATCGTATGTGAACAGTTTGAGAGGGAGAGTAAACTCTTCCAACTCTCTGCCGTACCAACTCATTTGGGACATGCTTTGTAGAACTATCGAAAACTACACTATACTAAAAAACTTTTTTTCATCCGGAACTTGTCAAACTTAGACATTAATATTTAAGTACATATTCAAACCGAAAAGCATAAGATTTTGCAGTGTTTATAACTTCAGTGATCCACTCTTTTTAGATACAGACGGTTCGCAATATAGCACAACAGTTAGCGACATGAATTTATCATCACTCTTTATTAACTCGAAAGTTTTCACCCCAACACTTCAGTGAATCCATCATGTATCTTGTCTTTTTTAATTTCTTTTTTTCTTAATTTTACCGTTTTATGTCGTAGGTCAGTTTATTCGAGTACAGTGCAGAGACTGTGGTGTATCATTTGTTGAAGGAATTTATGCCTCGTTATACATTTGCACAGTTGAATGAATGGTACATGAATGTGAATGGAGCTAACCGGTATGTCGAATTGGTTCGCCTATGGTAACTAAATTTCATTTAGCAATTCGCATGTAAATATATAGTTGTGATAATCAATTTTCATAATTTTATTATCTGTAATGTAGTAGATAAAAGCAAACATAGATTAGCGATTACCAATAAGGTGTTCGATAATCTATTTCTTGTTTGACACTGTTGCGATGTTAGTTTGTTCATTAAAGGTCAATTGTACAATGATGTAGAACGAGGATTTCTTTTTGTGAAGCCCGACCTTTTCGAATTTAAGATGTCGTATACTATTTTTCTCAATCATCTTTTTTGTCTTAAGGACTTATCATATTTTGTCATTGGCGTGTGGTTCTTATCGAGACCTGGAAAACTGTGTTTAGCAAGAGTAAGAATAATGATGCAGCACCTAGAAATTCGGCTTCAAGACGTTCAGTTCCGTAGATTCGTTTAATAAGCTTTTTCACAAATATTTATTATTTACGAAAAGTTTGACTCGAAGGTGAAGTGAAAGAGCCTGTCCGTTTTTAAATGAAATATATTTGGTTCTGGTTAACTGGTCACAATATACTTCTCAGTATCTTCTGTATACCATGTATCTTTTAATCCAGTCTTGGAAATTTTAATTTTCATACTTGTGTTTTACCGTCTTAATTTCATCGTATTTTTTCCCAAAAGAATCACCTCAAACCATCAGTTTTGTTTAACACTATCTAGTTTATATAGAATTGGTGCAATATGGTTGGCTGTGGAATCCAAGACGGGCGTTCCTTCCTGTTCGAAACTCGTCAGTTGACTATATATGCATTCCAGAGTTGATGACCACTTTGAATAGGATGTAACCTGTGTCCTGAATTGTACTACCAGCTACATTCCATCTATTTTACATAAACTTTGACTAAATTGAGCAAATGCATATAACGAGCACATCTACCAAATAAGACTCTTCAAAGTTCAATCAAGTTATCAACAAATCAAATTTTACATTATCTGTTTCCTTTAGAGATGCCCTCTCATTGTATTCTTTATGGTGCTAATGATAACACATTACTGTTAACTTCTGTCTCGTGAATGACCATGTAGCTCGACTGTGTTACCTGAATAATCCACGGTTGAAAACGAAGGGAACGTATACATGAGCGCACATCTGTTCAGGTTGGATCAGTAACGCTAAAACATCTGTTTCATAGATATCAAAATAGGTAGTTATACTAGTGTTAGGTCTATCGAAGCGTCTATTTCACCCGATTGAGATACGCGCGAAACCAAAGTTCCAAAATAACGATTTGTCTACAATAGCGGTTCTTTATTGAATAATACACAAAATTTATTTACAAACCTCAACTTGTGAGGTGTCTGGGGCGTTTAAACGTGTCCTTCAAGTATGATAATAAAGAGGCTTCCTGTAACAGTAACATAAACAATAATTACAACATACGATAGTACAAAGGACAGTTGATAGCTGTCTAAATTTGATAACAGTTTATGAACAACTGAAACCCGAACCAAGAGCAAAACAATATGGAAACTGTTGCGTTTAAGCAAATGCAAAAAACTGTGGATAGTGGCTACAGTGATTGAGGTACAGTAATTATAATGATAAATATAATGATAAGTACAATAAACGTTATAAGTATATGTGAACATTTCAGAATATTACACTTCAACTTGCGTTACAACGTATGTGTAAAAATTGTTGGTAATACAACTGCTTATTGAATGTAAATAAGTAGTATAAAACAATATACAAAGGAGTGGAAAGGGAGTGAGTAGGAACAATTTAAGACAAACTTAACAACTAGTTAGTGTATATTTGATGATTACAATTGGACTTTACTAAGTAACCTGTTCTACCTGTTGTCATTGATCTCTTGATTCAGCACTAAAAAGAATCAAGCAACCAGTTCACATATAACTTTATATTTCATAATCTGATTGACTTCTTATTTCTACCGTTTCATTTCATACCCCCTGCATTGTAAACGATCTTATAACATTGAACAATTTCTGTATGTGATGAAGAGACAAAAATAAAGTTATGTAATTTGACTAAGCATTCTTAGACTTAGCTTGACTTTTTCACAATCTCATAATACATACACTAAATGATTCGGTGTTGAAAATGACCGTACTCGATGTAAAATACTCGGTGTTGAAGTTTATTATAGAACCTTTGCAACTATATAGCATAAAGCACAGCACACTTAAGCATCTTTTTATTTAACCATTTTGTCGTATTGATAACTTGTTCGGAAAAAAAACTTGACCAAAAACGAAGATTGGACAAAATAACATTGGTTACTTGAAAAATACTTCTCATTAGCTACCTATCTATGAATATATAGCTACGAGATGGGAACTGGGACTTGATAACGATTTGCATCTGTACACTGGCTAAAGTCATAACCAGTTGAAATGTATTAATTGTTTCATTTTACTGATGAACTGTTTCATAAGTTAGCAGCTCACCATTTCTGATGATTGGTCATGATCCAGTCGCGTTTTTGATGCTTTTTTACTCTCTCTCTCTCTCTTTGTCGAGTAGCTGGCGCACAATCGACTATTGGATACGTCGTTCTATTGTAAATCTGAGGTTATTGAATACTTTAGATTTGATTGGTCGAACAAGTGAATTTGCTCGTATATTTGGCATTGAATTCTATCATGTTCTATCTCGTGGTTCTCAGGTTTGTTGAATAAATAATTATTAATTTGCTTATGAATGTGTAACTCAATGTGCTCAATTACACACCATAAAATTAGGATAAAAGTATGAATGATCAAAGTCGTATGTCTTGATTTTCATCATTTGTTGTATGCCAAGAAATTGTGTCTTTTACAAAGTACTGTAGTGAACGAGAACACAAGTGGGGATAACCAAATGTATTATAATTCAGCATTACAGAATATCTTGATAAAATCTGAGAACCATACGATAAATACTTCGTTTGCAAATTATCAGTCAATCGTTTCAGAGTTGATTGTCCCTTCGTTTGCACATCAATCATTCTCTTTTCTTCAGTCTCCTTAATCTGCTGCCGCCAGGTGTTTCACTTTCGATTAATCACATATACTACTTATATCTCTTAATATCAGTAGCACACACCGCAGTACTAATAATGTTACTGTTTAAATTCTATTGACAACGTGAGATGTTCTTAGAGCTTAATCAGAATGGGTAATTACTGTTTAATACAACAATCAAAGTATCTGAAATATTTAAAAAATATATTTAGAAAATTATACTAGAATGTCTACATAGCACGATATGAATTCGCACCTACAACCTAGCTGTTTAGACATCGAGCATTAGTTGATTATACTACACTTCCAAATATGACCTACAAGAAGACAATAAACGGAATAATGAAAATTCCTAAGAAAAGAGTTGAGACCTGTTATGTTTGAAGCGATTACGAGTTCACTTAGTTTGCGAACGGAACAAAGATTCGGTGACCAAAAACCAATAAACGAGCTATTCTGATGTATCCCAACCCCGCTAACTAGAAAGAGAAGTTGAAGTACGAACAGGGAAATATATTCCGCTAAAAGCCAGAAGCACGAGCGATAAAAACAGACACAAATCAAACGTATATATACAACACAAAACTGTCCTTGGGAAGCGTTACAAAATAGCATACTAAAAGACACAATGAACCAATAGCGTTCAAGATTCTCCCAAGTGGAGAATACGACATGAGGGTGACAAGAGTGCTTTTAGCGCGAAAACAAAGAAATTCAAATTGTCAAAATAAAATTACAAAATTAGGACCTTTTCCAAGTGAGTTCTAGGGATCTAACGTCCCCAACAAAACTAGTCACTAATAAACCTGTGGGAAATTTTAGACGTAAATGCAACATGTGGTACCTGTGTGTATTCTACTTAAGCACTTCATACAATCTCAAGACGATAGTATCTAGTAAGATTCTCTAAATTAATAGGTTACATAATCAGATGATGTAGGTTCTCTTTCTATGCATTTTGTATACTTCATTTGAATAGTAATGTAAAGATTCTGTGTTTTTTTAATTATTTATTATTGCTTAGTTTTAATATCTCACACTTTGAACCGGGTAAACCATCGTTGAATTAACCTGTCCACCTAAATATACTTTTACAATTTATGAAAGTAATTCTGTAATATACTACTCACTACATAGTTTGGACATTTTTGTTGTTATCAGTATAGAGTTGTGGAGATTGTTGAGTTTTAATTGAAATCATGAACTGACCAATGTTAGATCATCAGTGAAAACCTGGCAGTACTAGACGGTCATTTCGTTCTAGTATGGGACTCTTCAGCAATGTGCATTGCCGGTCCCACACATTGAACTCAAACCCCAGGACATCCGGTCTTTCGTGAACGCTTAACTCCCAGACCACGAACCTTGGGTCCACCGGTGTTAATGTCTAATCCTAATCAGTCCACGATATTGCGTGGCCATCTTCCATTATCTTCGGTGGGTAACTGCCTAACATCCGACACTATTGTTATTTTCTGTAACCTATAGCACGTTACATACATCAGTTATTGATATTTGGTTTTTCACTTAGTAAACGCTAATCAGATGAGTAATATTTCTATATTGTAGTTTAGTTCAAAAGTGCTACATCATAAATTTTCTCTCGTATTGATTCTATTTTTCAGTATCGAGTTGAATCTCTTCTCTGTCGAATTGCAAGACAATCAAATTTTATTTTACCTAGTCCAAGTGTTACACAACGTGCTCATCAACTTGCTCCAGAAGGGATTCCATTGAATTTAGAACCAGAAAGTGTATTTTTCATTGATGGTCCTGTGGCTGTTCTTGACTTTCAATCATTATATCCTTCTGTTATAATCGCTTATAATTATTGTTATTCCACACTGTTGGGACGTCTTTCATGTCTTCTTGAAGGGTGAGTGTGTTAGCAACAGCTAATCTTAACGGATTCATTCATTATTTTTATCAATGAATGAAAATCACTGGAAAAATATATAACATTTGACTTCTGATTGTAGTTAACATTTTCGACAGGATTTTAATTCACCTGTGTGTTCTTTTGGTTGCGATTAACCGGTCTGAATTTTCGTTTGCCATATGTAATGTTCATTTAGGGATAAATCAATGACTTGGCTAACCATCTAATTTTAATCGCTTAGTCGTGAAATTTTAATGTGCTTCATTTGCCAAATGCTAGTTTATGTATTCTTATTTTGATTGGACTTTAGATGTGAGGACGAGTGATCCTACTCAGGTGTTCAGACCGAAGTTAGCTGGATTTGGACCTGTCACTAGTTGATCATATGTCAAATATTCTAACCACTAAGTCAATACCTAGTAATTTGTGATGTAGTCTAACAATTCAGTAACTGTCAGTTAACTTATGAGTGTCAGCTCATTCCCAGTTTACTTTGTAACACTGCTCAACATTTCTCGATCCTTTTATTTACTTAAACACATAAGTAGTGGTGTGAGCGGGCACTAAAATAAATACGTGCCACACAATAAGAAAATGAGATTGTGAAGTGACAAAGGAAGGAGGATAAATATAATTAAAAACAACAAGTGAAGAAAAGTAAGCTAACGAGAGTAGCTTATGATTGGAGAAGCATTTCAGTTGAAAAAATACAACCAGAAAGGATTCTTTCAGTTAAAAGAAGTTCCTCGCACTTATATGAAGAAAGCAAAAGCAAGTCACAATGGGATGGACGTTAGTTTCTGCTCTAGGCCATATTTGATAGCGTCTCGAGCCACTAAGCTGCACTCTAATTGGGGAGTTATGATGGACTGATAGATGGCAGTTTTATCCAGCTTTCTTCCATACTTCGGTCCAAGTTGCCACACCTCATTAGCACAACAAGATGAACACCGAATTCATAGAAGCAGTTACCTCAATGGTAGTAATATATAAAGAACGGATTGCATATAAGGATATGATAGAGTGCGAAAGAATTAGTTCGTCGAAAGAGAGGTATAAAGTAATTTTAATCTCACGGTTTATCGGAAGACAAACAGTATATACACCTACACCAATGTGATCGATTCTGAGCCATGTCAACCAGAATCTCCAATCACTGGTCATGATAGTCGCGCAGACCTTGACTAACATTTTGAATAGCTTTCAGGAAGCCATTTTAAAATCACATCAAATATTATTTCCATAATGATTGTCTACAGAATTGAACAGTAGGTTGATTGTTTACCAACTGTTCTGTAAGGAATAAACGAATTTTGTATTGTGATTTGTTAAGCTTAATAAAATGCTTGTTTATTTCTTTATAATGACTATTGAACTTTCGTGAATTGTACATTTGCAGTTCGACTCTCTTTTTTTTGTATTTGTGTAATGAAGTGAAGAAGTTTTATTCAATCTTGGTTGTTTATCACATTCACTTCCATCTGGTCTAATCAAGGTAAGTTTTATCTATAAATTCATGTTATTAATTGATTAATATCAGAAAGAGGTTTTTGTGAATATTATTAGTAATTTCAATAGTTGAGATCATGAGTCAATTGAAGCTAAACCACTATGGAAAGCTTGGAAGCACTAGATGGCCGTCTCGTCCTATTGTGGGACTCCTCAGCAGTGCGCATCCACGACCGTGCCTCGCGAGTGCTTAACGATTTATTGACAAAACTTTATCGACTCTTCTTAATAAGTTTTATACTAAGGTGAATTTTAACAGGAAGATAACTAATATCTCATTTCCTTAAAATTCTATTTACCATAATGATGACATAAACACAATGTTCAGTGGTCCAGGGACAGACTATACATATGTATTGTTGATAAATGCTAACCATCATAAGTTGTACCTTCACAACATCCTATCGTTTACTTTTAATTGCCAATTTGAATTACATCACCACACAAAATCATACAGCCAAATGTCAATTTATAAGCATAATCATTAGAAACCTGTTGAACACTACAAACTTGACAATAGGCTATCGATTATGTGATAAGTGATTCATGTGAAGATTACAGTCTGGCTTCTAAATAAAACTAATTGTTAGAGTATATGGGTTGTGGCCAGAACTAAGATCCAGGAAGTGCTGGATTTTCCGAGATCAATGCGTTGTTGTTGTTTAAACGGAGATTTGAGTCGATTAGATTTCACTGGAGATGCAGTCCCATGGTAGTCGGGGACAAACTATTCGTTCATATGCCATTTGCTCTCTCAGGATGCTGGAGCCCATGTTCACCATTGGTTTGAAATGATGCTTTTCCAACTCCATTAGGCACGTCCTCCGTATCCACCAACCTGGTTAAATCTCCGGACATTCGTTTCTCGTCCTCCCAATTTCGTAAGCAACAGTAATGCCGCGAAAAGGCTGTGAGTAGGACTTCCCTGACAGTGACTGTATACTCGTGGCGAGGGAGGTCTGGCTCTCCCACTCTCGGCCGTACTAGGGTATTTGGGGGCTCAAAAGAACAATCCAAGTTTCACAACAAAACCATGCTAGTCAGAGACTGCTATTATGTACAACATCCTAAACCTAAGCTACAAATATTCTCCATCCTTTTATCTGTAAGGGTTTGTATTATTTCATTGTTGATATTCAAGAATGAAATTTCACAACAGAATACTCATTACTCTGAATTAATGTAATTGAAATATGTAAATCTCAAAAATGGAGAGATCTTCAATGAAGACAATATAACTCCTTGATTTCAATCGTCTCTGTAGTCGATATTACTCATTGATGAACCTGATCTTCTAACACTTACATCTTAACGTTAAACAAATCTAATGTATTACTTATTTGAACTTGACTAATTTGACCAACATGGTAGCATGAAGGAGTTCTCTAGATATTGTGCTTTATGGGCAATCATTTGAGTACTCAAAATTATCTGAATAAATTTGTTAGATTAATTGATTCTCTATTAGACTTATATACTTCATATGATATAAAGTTTTTTCTGATTTATGTATATACTAATTGTTCGAATGTAGAGAATCGGTCGAGAAGTTAATATATCACCAAATGGAGTTGTATTTGTGAAAAAATCAATAAGGGAAGGAATTCTACCACGGTAAGATATATATTAGATTTTCATATGGATTATCGATTTAAGAATTAATAATAATTGAGGCAGAATAATAATATGATTTCATTATGATAAGATGGTGGTTGGAGATAGTCAACAGGGAACTCTGGACCCAGGTTTCGTGCTACTTGGCACTCGCCAGCAAGGTATACCTGTAATCTTGAGGGAACTGATGCTACCTGACGGATCCGATCCCGTGTCATCCAGATTCATAGTCAGAGACATTACCATTGGGCTATCCGAGCTGCGACCGACCTCCTCTAGGACTGAGATGTAATCATAATGCTGTCGACCATTCGATATGCATTAAAAAGGACTTGACACACATGACATTGATCACCACTCAGTAAGACAGTAATTAATTGAAGTTCGGAAATAAGTAAGATAGATAATTATAGAGGATTTTGAAGGGCTTACATAAGTTTGTTAAAATTGACAAGATATATATTCTGTTAATACCATCGTTCAAGTAGTATGGGACACCATAGCTATACATGTTCACATAATTCCATCGATAATCTGTGCCTTGCAACGAGAGTTTAAGCTTTAGACGACTATAATAGCATCCAACTGTGTCAGGTGTGAGACAGTTATCCACCGATGATATTGAAAAAGAATTAATCTATTGAAATTAAGCTTCATTACTATCATTCGAACGTTTAGTCTTGACAATTAAATTTCATTCATTATTAATAAAGTTTTGTTTATCTGTTGTATCACTGAGAAATATGAAACTTAATTCATATATCATTATAAAGTGAATCTGATATACCAGTTAAGAATACTTAGTTCCATAGGTGGTGTATTTAAAGTCTATTGATTTCAAATTTGTGATTACCCCTTCGACTACACTGATCATCTTTTACAAATAAATCAATTGTAGCTAGAAGCAATTCGGTCATTTACGAAAGAATTGTAAACATATTACATATTATTACATACAACAGCGTTAATGTCCAACGTCTACCATTGTCTTCAGTGAGTTACGATCTCACAACTGACCTGGTTGAACTTTACTGGTCACTGCTTCTCACTAGATCTATAGTTACGAATAATAATAATAACAATAAATGATGTTCCAATGAGTAGAAGTCACATATTTCAATGTTTCGTAACTTAGTGTAAACCATTTCTTCAGAATAATTAAAGTTATAACCGAATTCACAAGATAATTCAGAAGTAGTTGACAGGAAATCTTGAATTTAGGTTTTGTGCCCTTTGTTGCTCATCAACAAGTTGTGCCTGTAATCTTGAAGAAATTGATACTTCTTTTCAGTTTCTATCCTGTGTCATCCAATTTTACAGTCAAAGATGTGTTACCACTGAGCACTAAGTATAATTCAACATACATGGTATTGGTTATTGTTCAATTGTCAATCAATGGCAAATAACTGGACTAGGTTAACACAATTGTAAACAGTGTCAAAGAGTCAAGTGGTATATTTAGCTCTTCGCTATCGTGTTCAATGACACACACACATACATTATAGGTTTCCATCGTTAGTTCTCGAGTTAATTTCTTATTTTTTCAATTCTACTATGGACGACACAAAGTATTTTTATTGAATCATGAAAAAGGAAAGTGTGAATGATTATTTTGCTCCCAAATGCTCTGATATGGCCGAGAGTGGGAAGAGTCAGCTCTCTCTCTCGAAATGCTCTCACATGGCCGCGTCTATGCAACCACTGACAGGGAAGTCCTACTCACTGACTTCTCGTGGCGGGGGTGTTGTTTGCGAAATTGAAAGGACGAGTAGTAAATGTCCAACACTTCAACCGGGTTGGTGGACATAGAGGATTCACCTAGGGGAGTAAAAAAGAACCCTGATTCCAAACCAACAGTACACATGTGTTCTATAATCCTGAGTGAACAAATGGCGTATAAACCAATCGTTGTTCACGGGCTACCGTGGAACGGCATCTCCTGACGTTGCTCCACCACCTTATTGATTAGACGTTTAGGTCGAAGGCTCCGGGTGTAACCTAATAAAGTCACCTACTTTGGTTAAATAAATAATGATTATTTTATTAAAGTCATTGTAATTTTTATTTATATTAAAACAATATTTCATTGTTGATTTATAGCATGTTAAAACAGCTGATTACAACTCGTTTAATGGTGAAAGATTCAATCAAATTGTATAAAACAAATAAGGTAATGGTTACTATTCATTATGGTTCAATACTTTAATTTAACTCATAAGGAGTAGTAGTAGATTAACACCTATGCGCTTTAACTGTGACAAACATCTTCAGGAAGTGGTAATAATTTTGGATTTGATAATACTTTTCAGTATGAAAACTTAAGAACTTTTGACGACTTAGTATCTATGGGAACAGTCGTGTGTTTTTATGTTCCTTGATTTAACAGAAAAAAATACATAATAAATGTAATTTAATAGTTCAATTCATCAATCGATTGAATCTAGACTACCATTAAAAACCTGGAAGCACCGGACAGCCGTTTAATCGTAGTATGAGACTCCTCAGCAGTGTACATCCACAATCCCACCCGTGGGATTCGAAACCAGAATCATCTAATGCGTCCAGGTTTTTCATAGTAATTTAGTTTTCGTTAACTCATTAATTCAACTATTAGATTACTAATGATATCCACAAAACTCCTTCCTGATTATAATAAATGTCATCGTTTAGTACTGTAGTATAATAGAAGAACTTCAATGAGTCTTATAGCTAAAGGGAATTAAAAACAATTGAATCTTTTCTAAATACTTTAGTTTGAATAAGATTTGGGAGATTTCTTTAGCTTGTAAACAGAATGTCGTCCACCAATTGTGTTCTGATTGATTCTTAATTGGTGAATTTTGTCTTGAAATATTGATTCATGTCAAGAAAACATGATAGTCATCACATAGATACTTCCAGATAATCCAATAGGATTAGAAAATATACAAATCAGCGATAAAAGTGGACTGAGCCATGTTGGTAGGTGTAGACTACCTGGTTGGGGAACGCGAGATGATAGCAACCGATGGTTAGAGACACTGAATGACATGGCTCAAAATCGTTTGCAATGGTGTGAGCAGGTGCATCCACTCTTTGTGTTCTTCCAAATTCTAATCTCCTGAATCCTCCTTGTCTCTTCTTTTCTTTTTCCAAATTTATTTCACTGTATTATACTCTTTAAATAACATTTCCAAACACTAATTTTCCCGATTACCGCTTATACTCTTACCACCTCTACCACTACGGGATTTGAATTGACAACTGAATCTCTGTGTTAATGTGGTGTGGCAACTCGGACTGATGTACGTACGTACGAAGTTCTACGTTGTTACTGACTGACTGATAACCATCGAATTGATATTAAAGAAAGGTTTTTTCGATGCTAATGCTCAATCTTCCAATACGGGAACCTAATTGGCTACTCGAATAAAACGTATGAGATTGAGAAGGAAGTTTATTGATTAAACAAAAATGGAAATGTACCATTAATGGTGTATGTCTTATACTATTTCTTGGTTAGTCACGTGGATTCATCATTCAGCTGATTTCTGATTGACTCAATGTATCATGAAGCAGTTTATTGTTGTAGCGACTAACCCTTGGAAACTGACAAATTTGAATTCATTGATTAGTTTAGATATGTGTTTGTTTAATTATATCAAACCTTGATTGTATTACGAATTCATCACTTTAATCCATGACATTCACAATATAACTTAAAATCTTGATAACCGAAGTTGTTTTCGATTACTTAATTAGATCTTCTCTCTGGAATGAACTAAAATGATGGACATAGTTTTCCAGTCTGCCTCTTAAAGTCAGCGTAGATGCACATACATATGACGAAATTTATAGACTGTTGGCCTGATCTCTAAATAAACTAAATGTCAGTAGTAGTAGTAGTAGTAGTAGTAGTAGTAGTAGTTAGTGGTATCAAAGTCCCTATAATAGTAACTGTTGGGAAGAGATCCAAAGTATTTCTTGAAAAAGTCCTAAGGGGCCCTAAAAACTCTGGAAAACGTTTTATCCAATGAGCTTTGAATAGGAGTTACTTAAAAGTGTCTAGAAAGTGGAAAGTCACGTGTCATGTTTATGATTGATTGATTACCTATCTGCTACTATGTTTAGTATGACTCAAGAACCTTCCAGAAGCCCAAGGCCATCTGTAGTACTATACATACACTGGACTTCCCTTACATAGACTAAGTTTTCGTTTAGATTTAGACTGGAGTTATTACAAGAGTTTAGGAAATCCATTCAAGCGTTTAGTTAGAAGACTTATCAGTACCATTTGTTCATTGATATTCCGATCAGATGATATTAGATTTTCTAAAAACCAAATTGGGCATTAAAGTTCCATTGTGAGTTATTACGACTGTTGTTTTGAGAAGAAAGTCTGATAATGGACTTGTTAATTGTCCATTATGCAAAATGTCAATAATTGGATCAGTTAACTATTTAGAAATAGGACACGATTTTGAAATACTGAAACTGATTCTCTGGGCTCGGTGAAGACTAAACGATAAAACACTTAAATTAAGACAAATATAACATTGTCTAAAAAAACACAACAAATATTAATTTTCGTAGTTGAGATCATAAGTCAGTTGAAGCTAGACCACCATGGAAAACCTGGAAGCACTGGGTAGCCGTTTCGTCCTATTGTGGGACTGCTAAGCAGTGCGCATTCACGACCCCGCCTTACGGGATCCGAACCCAGGACCTATTGGTTTTATTCACTAAACAAAGGCTCTAACAGTTATTCTTCTTAATAAATACCATTAATTGAAGTTAACCATCGTTATCACTTTGACAACCAACTACTTATTTATTCCAGCTTTACAGCATTCAATCATACAACACTGATTCCAGCATCTTTCGGTTTCTCAAACAACTGTTTATTCTTATTATATTTAGAATTGTGCTTTCTTTGTCTTGTTCCTTATTCATGCTTACTTTGTTTTTCCCTAACTAACAACATATTTATAGTGTTTGAACAGATTATTAGATGCACGACAGCTTGGATTAAAATTAATGGCCAATGTGATATATGGTTATACTGCGGCAAGTTTTTCTGGACGTATGCCGTGTGTAGACGTAAGCTAATCTCGATAGTATTTTTAAGATAAAAATGTCGAGTCGGTATTTTTCTGTTGGTAACTTTATCGCCAATTCATTTAATCGATTTTATAGTTTGTCTTCGCTATCATATTTTCTTGTTTCATTTAATACTGAATAGTCGTTGTCTAATCTTCACTGATGGCTTAATTTCATCAGTCAAGCTTAGATTATGCTTTCATTTCGGTTTATGTTGGCTAGTTGAACAATCTATGGATTGTTATTTATTTATTTAAATGCATGAACATTGGTACAAGGAGGCATAAAACCTATATACGCCACACAAATGATTCAATTTGTGTGAGGGCTGGAATATACTACCAAGGCGCCTAAACCGAAGCAAGTGGTTTTCTTAAGATGCCACTGCCTGAGTCTTTGACTTAGAAGCTTAATCCATAAGGCAATGGAGCAGGAGATGCAGTCTCATGCTATCCGACGAAATTGAATATAGACTCATTCACCATTTTTTGCGATTGCAGAATAATAAATAAGAACCTTCGTCTAAATTTGAACGAATAGTTTCACAATCTTTGGGCGCCGAGTTAATGTGAGACATCAAAGAGGAAGAATGTATTTGTAAAATTTCAGCGAAAGAATTTGAAGTAAATCCAACGTTTCACCTGACAGTCTAGTCCAAGCTTTTTCAAATTCTTTCTCTGAAATTTTACAAATACATTCTTCCTCTTTAATGTCATTCACCATTTGTTCGTTCAGGATCCTAGTTTGGAATGAGGGTTTTCCAACTCCCATAAGTGGATTGTCCATATCCATGAAGCCAGTTACAGCGACGAACATTCGCTTTTCATCCTCTCAATTTCGTAGACAACACCCCTGACGTGAGAAGATACTTTACACTATCGCCTGATCAATGATGACCAAGATCCATGCACCCAGGTGAATTCGTAGATGCACATCGAAGAGGTAAACTCGAGTAACTTATCGTTTGTTCCAGTAGACATGACTGGAAAATACTGACGTAAGAATAGCTGTGTGAAATGTCCTTTTAATTAGTCTCACAAATCTATCATGCAGGATATCGCTAGTTATATCCCTATTGAGTGTCAGTTCAGCTGTCCCATCAATTTTTTCTATAGTAAGTATAGTTGAAAGCAAAATGAACGTTGACTCTAATTCTTTAACACTATTCTGAGGGAAGCCAATGTTGATTTGAGTTTCCTATATTTTCTTACAGATAAACTCGATTGTCTCGACTAGAGTGATTCATTGGTGAATAAAGATATCCACAGAGATCATATGATTTCTACTGACATTCACATCTACTTGTGAATAATTTCAAAAATATCTTTGACACTTCTCTTTATACAGGGAAAAAGACGTTGATGTGCGCCATATATAGAAAGTTCGTATTCCTTAAGCTACAGTTAAACACGAATGTAGCAAGCAATATCTTGGATGATAAATTCGTGAGACTAGTTAAAAAAACATTGATATTTTCCTGTCATGTTTACTTGAACAAAGTATCAGTTACCCGAGTTGCTCCTGTGAAGGCAGCTATATTAAGCATACTACCAAGTTGTCTAGCCAGTGAATGAGTGATTATATCCTCGAGTGGTTTGAAAACGGTTAGATGGAATCACAGTATAATTCTATCTTAGGACAACCATTAGCAAGTGATTATTTAGTATATAGAATCAGATAATTTCGCTAGATCTATCGTTTATCTTCATCATTCCTCGTTAGGTTTCAATCCCATCTTCTACGTATATCTGCATGTATTTCTTTATCCCATCAAAAATAACCTATTCAACACAGACGTTTTCTTTGTATTTTTAGAAGTCAGTTGTATAGAGTTTTTACTCAATATTCACTTCGTCAATTAAGAATTAGTAGTGTGTAACTATGTATTCAGATGCCATATTATGTGTAATCAATATCTTTTGTTGTTACTTTTGTTTATTATAAAATAGTTACTTACTTACTTACGCCTGTTACTCCTCGTGAAGGAGCATAGGCCGCTCACTAGCATTCTCCATCCAACCCTGTCCTTGGCAATCCTTTCCAGCTACTTCCAGTTCTTATTGATCCTTCTCATATTTGCTTCTATTTCCCGACGTAATGTGTTCTTTGGCCTTCCTCTTTTACATTATTGTTATTATAGTCGTTCATTAACTGTTCCTTGATTTAGATAATCTAATGAGAAGACCAAGATTATCAGAACCTTTCAGAATTTGATTATTATTGTTATTATTTTACCTGATTAATTTTCAGCTCGGTGATAGTATTGTGCATAAAGCCAGAGAAATTTTAGAAAATGCTATTGAACTAGTTAACAATGGCAAGATTGTATTACCAGATAATTGTAACGGTCTTCCAACACCACGAGTAGTCTACGGTGATACAGATAGTTTATTTATACACCTTAAAGGTTATGGTAAATCAGAAGCATTCGATGCTGCATATCAAATTGCCAAGGAAGTAACATCAATGAATCCGGTACCCATTAAATTAAAACTTGAAAAGGTTTGTTTTTTTTCTTTACATTGACATTTTCTAAATTAGCCATTTAACTACTGGCAAAATATTAGTAGTTTGATATTTCCTACGAAAATAATGGGTTGTCACCGATTATTAGTAACAGCTTTTCGGTAATATTTCTCTCCGTTTTGCATCTTTTGGACATGTTATTGTTATATTTTAAGAGGTTATGTGTAAGACTACCTGAAAAATTATTTTCGTAATGATATATCAACTTGTCAGCTCATGTTATCATACTGCACAATCCAGTGGAAAGCGTAAATCATTCATACGTGGAAAGGTATTTGTTTGAATAGAATAGGTTTATGTGTGAAGAAGAAAGTGTCTGTCATAAATTATATTCACCAATTATTAGGTAAAAGTTAATTTATTCAAGGTGTTTAAACAGTTTACTATGGTACTTGATCTCGTCGAAACTTCCTACTTACTCGAATACTGTTTACCTAGTATTGCAATTCGCTGTTGAAAACTCACTTATGATCAATATCCATCATGGACACTCGTCTATTCCTTAGTCTTGCCTTCTGATCATTATAATCATTGTTTAATGGGTAGTCTAGTATCTTACTAGTACAATACGTGGTATAAATAGGCCAAATGGACCAACCTCGACCGTATCACAATTTCCTCAGCAAATTATCAAATGGGATTCACTCCCTGAATAATCAAATAACCCAACACGGTCGTCAACATCATTCTTCATACTTTAACTGGTTATCGGTACATACTATTGGTCAAGAAATCATTTGAGAATTAACGTGTATAACACTCAAATGCCATCGTTTTCGTTCAGTTTGTTCATAAATCCTCTGTATTCTGTAAATTTCTTCATCTAATTGAACCATGTTTTTCACCTTTAGCTAGAAATAACTAATCGATATTGAATGTCGATAAATATGCTTCTGTAGTTAACGTACTGTCGATAGCGTTTTCGTAAAGAAATGTACACTATGACTATTGTCCAATGTACAGCCAGTTATTCATATCATTGGTAATATTCTTTCAATACATCAATCAACCTTATATTCATAGAATAATCTTCTTGTTGACTGAAGTATCTATGGGAAAAGATACTTGATTTCTATGTGTAATCTATCATCGATTTTTCTCTCTCCTGGAATGATCACGATTTATGAGTTTTTCTTTGTTTTGTTTAATACATACTATAACTAACTCCACTTTCAGATTTATTATCCATGTCTATTGGAAGCAAAGAAACGATATGTTGGTTATGCTTATGAAACTGTTGAACAAAATAAACCTGTATTTGATGCAAAAGGAATTGAAACTGTAAGACGTGATAGTTGTCCATTTGTAGGACAAGTAAGTGAATATTTAATTTGATTATTTCCATAGGTTTTCATTAGATGTTGAAATCTCTGTATGGTTCGATTTCTCACTACCCATAACCTACCTCGATAGAAAGCTCTATAAACGCGGCGAAATCAGAACATAGCATCCATTCATAAAATCATTAACTGTTGATCTGAGCCATGTTAATTGATTCAGATTACCTAGTTATAGTCCTCATTGTAACCATAATCAGTGCTTGGAAATGTTAGATAGTATGCTTCAATAGTATTTACTCTTTATCGTCCGATATCCTTTCATACATACGTTTTCACTTTGTCTCTTTGAATATAATTCTTAATGTTCAGTCATTGCTACCGCCATATTTCGACCCTTGGATTAACGCATATTTATGCTCGAGTCGCTGTTAATTCTGTCTGATTGAGAATCTGACACAAATGTAAATCGTCTCCCAATTATCACATTTGGTTATCATCGCAAGAGAAAGAAATGAATAAGTGAAAAAAATTACTGGTCTGGATATTATATATAATTTAGGGTAGTTTTATGCGTGGAATCCAACCGTTTTACTTCTATCTAAAGTTTGTTCTGATGATGTCGTTCAGAAGAACGCTGAAAGCTCCACAACCAAACCATCTAGCTCAAAGAACAAAACTCCATCAAAATCATCCACTTGAGCTACAAATCTTCACCACTCTTTTACCACATATGAGACCTGGAACAACAACTACTGTACAATAGTCATGGATAATTATTATCCAGAATTAGGTCTATTGCCTGCAATTCATTAGATGAAAGTCATGAGTTCAAACTAAATCAGTCTTTCTGTTCACAATTGTCGATAAAAATAAATTTACAAGTTGTTAGTTAGGTGAATCAATAATTTGTATGACATAAAAAAGTGTGCATATTCACTTAATGTTTTTATTTAGAACTTCAATTGATCAGTCTCTTGTTGGTATATATGCATCCTGTGCGAACTGCCTTAATACTGCCTGAAGTCAAAAGCTTTATAAGCAACTATGATGAGTCCTTATTTATTTATTATTTATTTCAACACATAGATATTGGTACAAGGAGGCACCAAATAAATATGCGCCACACAAATCTCAGTCTATATGTGTGAGGGTTGTGATACTGCCCGGGTGCCCAAACCGAAACAGGTGGTTTTCTTTGGGGGGGCACTCCCCGAGTCTTTGACCTGAAGATCTAATCCACAAGGCAATGGAGCATCGTAAGAAGATGCAGTCCTATGAAAGCCGATGACCAATAATTGGTTCATACGCCATTTGTTCCCTCAGGATACTGGAGCCCATAAGCATTATTGGTTTGGAATCCGGTTAAAGCGCCGGACATTCGCTTTTCGTCCTCTCATTTTCGTAAACAACACGCCGGCCACGAGAAGGCAGTGAGTAGGACTTCCTCGGCAGAGGCTATAAACGCGTGGCCATGTGAAAGTATTTCGAGAAGGAGAGCGGACTCTCCCTACTCTCGGCCATACCAGGGCATTCGGGGGCATGATGAGTCCTAAATGGGACGAAACATGCCTTCTGGATTTCACTGCTAGCCACTATCTATCTTTGCTTATAATCTTCATATTCTATAGTCTTGCTTAATGAAAAGGACTATCCCTTGTTAATATAATCCTTAATGAATTAGATAAGAATTATGCATTGTATAATTTAACTATATTGAATGATTTCATTATTCATTTTCTATTGAATTGTAGGTTCTTGAAGAATATTTTAAACTTTTATTCAATCATTTCACTATTCCAAAATGTTTGAAAAATATAGAAGGGAATTCCCATGAAGATAAAGGTATGTATCTCTTATATGTAATAGATCTATCTAATGTAATGAAAGTATACTATACTGACTGTCTTGAATGATTTATCAACCAATCAGGAAATGTTGCATAATGGTGAGAAAATGAACTATTAAAAGCAATTTTATTACGAGGGGCATGATAGCATGATCTTGAATAATCAACTGTCACATGTCGAATCATTCTTTACTGTGAAATATTGCTTTTTAAGAGTTGGACTAGTGCAAATGAATCGAGCTTATCATCTCATATAGTTTTCGTTATCGACTGACATAAACAATCATAATGCTTGGTGGTTAGGGTTATTTATTCAGAGTTAAGCTGCAGCTGTGAGTTTGATTTACATTTATCTTATTTTATTTAAGTACATAAACATTAGTACAAGGATTCACAAAACAGATATACGCCACCTAAATCATCCGATTTCTGTGTGAGCTGTGATACTGTCTGGGTGCCCAAACCAAAGCAGGCAGTTTTTTTAGAGGGGCACACTCGGAGCCTTTGACCTAAAAGGTCTAGTTCACAAGGCAATAGAGCAACGTCAAGAGATTCAGTCTCATGGTAGCCGGTGACTAACAATTAGTTCATACACCATTTGTTTGCTCAGGATGCTGGAACACATGTGCACCATTATTTTGGAATCAGAGTTTTCCAACTCCCTATAGGTGGATTCTTTATATCCACCATTCCGGTTAAAGTTTTGGATATTCGCTTTTCATCCTCTCATTTTCATAAACAATACTCCCGCCACGGGGAGTCAATGTGTAAGACTTCCCTGGTAGTAGTCGTATGCACATGGGGTTGATTGTTTTCATCACGAACTGACATCAACTATGATACAACGCTTTATTATCCTTCTGTTTACATACTTGAGAAATCAAATGTTGATATTTGGAATAAGCGTTAGAGTGGAAGAACACCGTCTAACTTCATTAAGCACTCATGACTACTCACTGAATCCTATCACATACTAGAATATACAATCTGACTTAGGAGCAAATGTGTTTAGTAATTTATCATAAATACCATCTTATCCATGAACATGTATACTGTATAAAAATCCTCCAAATGCCGTCGTAAGAGCAAGGGTGGGGATAGTCCGCTCTCCCTCTCCAAATGCTCTCACATGGCCACATGCATACAATCACCACCAGGGAAGTCCTACTCATTGACTCCCCATGGCGGGAGTGTTGTTTATGAAAATGAGAGGATGAAAAGCGAATATCCAAAACTTTAACCGGAATGGTGGATATAAAGAATCCACCTATAGGGAGTTGGAAAACTCTGATTCCAAAATAATGGTGCACATGTGTTCCAGCATCCTGAGCAAACAAATGGTGTATGAACTAATTGTTAGTCACCGGCTACCATGAGACTGAATCTCTTGACGTTGCTCTACTGCCTTATGGATCAGACCTTTAGGTCAAAGGCTCTGGGTTTGGCTTCGTTAAGAAAACTGCCTGCTTTGGTTTGGGCACCCAGACAGTATCACAGCTCACAAAAAAATGAAGTGACTTGTGTGGCGAATATGTATTTGGTGCTCCTTTGTATCAATATTTATATGTTTAAATAACTAAAGAGATTCCATTAATAACAACATAAACTGAAAAGAAATTTTGTACGTACTCGCTTTCGATGGAAATACTTTGATATCATCAACTGGAATTTGTTCTACTGTCTATCTGATAACTCTATCAGTGTTTACAATTGTTAAATGTCGAATTCGGATAGTTATTTGTATACATTATATCTCAGTTAAACGTTTTTTGTTCTTAACCACAATAAACAGAGTTTGCTGAAGTGCGAATACAATCAATTGTATGTATGCTTAAGCTGTTATCAATGTGTCTACGCCATCCGGCTGATGATGACTATAATATTAGAACGAAACACATATGTAGTCATTCATATCAAGATGTATTTATTGTATAGTGATATATTCAACCAACTCATTTCTTCTTTTATATTTTTCTAATAGTTGAAATCATGAGTCAATTGAAGCTAGACCAGTATGGAAAACCTGGAAGCATTAGGCAGCCGTTTCGTCCTAGTATGGAACTCCTCGACAGTGGGCAACCACCATCCTACCTCACGAGTACTTCCAGGTTTTTCAGAATGGTCTAATTTCAATTGACTCTATTAAATTTTCTTTCTTTTTTTTTGTTTTTGCTAAAACTTCATTAATTTATGTGTATGATTCAATTTAGTTCATCAACCTTATGAACATTTGGATAAAAGATTAAAACTTGCTGAAAATAATCTAAGAAATAAAATTCAACATTTTGCCTATCTTCTTATTCATGGTAGAATACCATTTTATAAATGTATTATTACTAGACCCTATTGGGGATTATCCTCTTATAAACCGGGAACATTTGCACCAGCATTACAAGTTGCCAAGTAAGAATTGATATAATTTTGTTGATAATGTTATAATCCTTTCATTTTGTTCAAATGTCTACTGATGATAATGACTATGGAAGATGTGTGCTGATTGTGGAGAATAGTAGGAACCATAAGTTGAACAACATCACTATACAATACACTGGAAAGATGATTCTATAACATCAAAAGATGGTGAACCTGAGATTAAGTGATTGATTGTATTACAGAATGACTGTTCACAATTTAGTGTTAATGAAGAAGAAAAAAACACAATTTAAACCGTTGATTATTCAATGATCAAGTCTCTCGTTTATATTTCCATAATGGTGGGTATGTCTAAATAAGCAAATTTATAGACTGTTGATATTACCTCAAACATTTGTTGAGTACTATTTGGTATTAATACGGCTATGTTTGAAACGATTACGAGCTCATCTAATCTGAGAATGGAACAAAGACTCTGTGACCAAAGACCAATAAGCTTTTTATTCTGATGCGTCCCAGCCTCACTAACTAGAAAGAGAAGTCCAAGTTCGAAATGGGGAAATGTAACCTGCAAGTAGCCAAGAGTACGAGCAACCATGATAGGCACAAATTAAACGCATATATACAGCATAAAATTCTCATTGGGAAGCATTACAAGTTAGTATACTAAAAGATACAATAAACCAATAGCGTTCTCCCAAGTGGAGAATACGACATGAGGGTGACAAGAGCGCTTTTGGCGCGAAACCAAAGAAAGTTACAAAATTAGGACGTTATCCAAGTGAGTTCTTGGGATCTAACATCTCCAACAAATACCAATAGATGAAACTACCTGTCTGTTCAGTTTTCTTGCTTATCTTCTACACTCCTTTTTTTAAATCTTTTGTACATATATATACCTTTCTTTTCCGATTATGTTATGTAGACGTCTTCTTTCTATGGATCCACGAGGTGAACCATTGCGTGGTGAACGTGTTGTTTATTATGTAACAGCTGGAAGATCTGATCAAACTTTATTATCATGTGTTCGAAGTGTACATGAAATTTATCCTTCTTTATGGATTACTGGGAAATCCACTTTATCACGTCGTGTCCTAGGACCACGTTTAAATTATGCTTATTATTTAGATAAACAATTTATACCTCCAATTGAAAGAATGACACAAGTTATTGGTTGGCGTGTTAGAAATTGGTTAGTTCATGTGTTATAAGGAATTCTTTGCAAATATCTTCAAGATTTTGTATTTTTCATAAACTACTTAATATCCTTGTATATTATAAGAATGTACTTGAAGAGATTCCCTACTCTAAATGGGAAATAACTAATCTCTAAAGTTTTCGAATATATGAAACAACATATACCACTTATTTCTTTGTTCATTCATCAACTGCTCACAACTCGTTCTAATTGATCATTTAAATTACCGGAGCTATTCAACATATTTTAATTCATGAATGCTCATTGAAACAAAAATAATATTCCCAGTAGTATTTGTCATTTGATTTGTGTATGAGCTGTGATACTGCTCGGGTGCCTAAACCCCGGAACCTTCGACCTAAAGGTCTCATCCAGAAGGCAGTAGAGCAACGTCAGGAGTTGCAGTCCTATTGTAGCCGGTGACTAACAATAGATTTGTAAGCCGCTTGCTGTCTCAGGATCCTGGAACACATGTGCCAATTGGAGTTTCTCATCTCTCCCAGATGGACTCACCGTGTCCACCAACCCGGTTAAAGCGCCAGACATTCGCTTTTCACCCCCTCACTTTCGTACATAACAGTAATGCCACGAGAAGGCAGTGAGTAGAACTTCCCTGACAGTGGCTGTATACACGTGTCCATGTGATAGCATTTGGTGATGGAGAGCTAACTCTCCTCATCCTCGACTGTACTATGGCATTTGGAGGCATATTTATTTGGTGCACCTTTGTACCAATATTTATGTTTTCAAATAAATTCATGACGAAAAAGTCAATAACAGTGATATTGTGGTGTGTGTTACTTATATTGATATAAGTAGTATATGACACGAGTTATCTGGAAGCAGAAGAGGGGGGAAGATCAAGAAAGGAAGAGCAAGAACGCAATGCAATTTGTAAGAAAACGCATGAACCATGAAATGTGAGACAATTGACTGGTGTTTGCAACAAGAACAGTCCGGTTTGGTATGATGGAATGATATTTTGCAAATTAACGATTTACTATATGGTTTTTCTATTTTACCGAATAACTCTGTAATTTGTGTGCTAAATACATTCGATTGTCCCCACCCGTGTTCTGTTCACTACAATATGAGTAATTAGAGACCCTCATAAGATGACAAGAACTTGTAATCTTTCAGTGATTAGTAATTGCTTTTGCATCATTAACCCTTACTTTTTCTATTTTTGTTCATATTATAGGTTATCAGAACTTCCTCGTTACTTCACTTCTAAACATCATCGATATATTTTGACTTCCGAACCGTCTCATGTTTATCCTTCAAGACCTCAACATCAATTCACCAATTTAGGTTCACCATCTTCATCGTTTATTTTATCTCCTAATTCATCACAGCTTGATTTAATTTCACAAAATCAACGTAAACATCTTTATCGTCCTTCATCAGTTATGCGTGCTTTTGTTGGTCAACCACCACGAATTTGTCCTAGCTGTGAAACATTAATACCAAATACTAGTTTTACTGATCAATTAGGTCATTGTAGAACTTGTATTGATGGTAATTCACGATTAATAAATATTGGAACTATAAAATTTGGTTGTAATGTAAGTGTTTTATTATTTAAATCGTTTAAATTGTTACCTCTTAATTACTTAAATATGATGACATGATAGAATAGATTACGTATTAGTAGCCCCCAAATGCCCTGGTATGGCTAATAGTGGGATAGGCCCGCCCTCCCTCTCGAAATGCTCTCACACGGCCACGCGTATACAGCCTCTGCCAGGGAAGTCCTACTCACTGCCTTCTCGTGGCCGGCGTGTTGTTTATGAAAATGAGAGGATGAAAAGCGAATGTCCGGCGCTTTAACCGGATCCCAAACCAATGGTGGTTATGGGCTCTAGTATCCTGAGGGAACAAATGGCTAATGAACCAATGGTTAGTCATCGGCTTTCATGGGACTGCATCTCCTTACGATGCCCCACTTCCTTGTGGACCAGACCTTCAGGTCGAAGGCTCGGGGAGTGGCCTCCTAAGAAAACCATCTGTTTCGGCTTGGGCATCCGGGCAGTATCACAGCCCTCACACATATCGAATGAGATTTGTGTGGCGCATATGTATTTGGTCCCCTCTTTGTACCAATATCTATGTGTTAAAATAAAATAACAGATCTGATCTCAATTGCTTTAGTCGATATCCCTTAATCTTATGCAATATTAATCAATAAATTCATTAAAGTATGAATTGTTTCATGATAATGTTCAAAAAGATTAACTCGTAGGGGGGGGGGAGAAAAGAAAAGAAAAAAATTACATCACTATTTCAACTAGTATCCAAGCGACTATTTACTAGTCTTATTGTAGATATTCAATAGGACTTATGACTTTGATTAAGCCATGGAGATGAAGTGAAAAAAATGTGTGTCATTAGAATTCTATAGTATGATTAAAATGTATTCAGAGATAGTTGTTTTACACAAATCGCTTAGTTGGAATCGTATATATATGACTGATTAGACATGAATATATACAGTTAATCCATTTGTTCTATGCTAAGTCATACACCCTTTTATGGTGACATCTTGTTATTTTGTAGACTGACTGAATTTCGTACTCATTACTCCTTTTATATTAAATTGAATAAAGAGTAAAAATTGAATTATTAGCTGGAGAAATATGAAATCCATTTTACTTGACATTATCAACGGATCATTGTTAGACTACTATTGAAAACTTGGAAGCATTAGATGGTCGTTTCTTTCTAGTATGAGACTTCTCAGCAGTGCACCTCTACGATCCCGCCCCTCGCGAGACTCGAACCCAGAACCTATCAGTCAGGCGCTTAACCAACTAGATCACTGAGCCGGCATCCAATGGTGTTAATGTCTAGCTTCAACTAATCCACAAAGTTGCGCCACCGTGAGTTGATATCTTACAACAGACCTGGTTGAACTCCACTGGTAACGACTTCCCACTAGAACTCTAGGAGTATCTCTTGAAGTCAGTCACTAGTAAGACTGATAGATCCTGGGTTCGAATCTCGCGAGGAGCGGGATCGTACATACGCACTGTTGAGAAGTCCCATACTAGGACGAAACGGCCGTCCAGTGCTTCCAGGTTTTCCATGGGTGATCTAGCTTCAATTGACTCATGATTTCAACCAGTGAAATTTCTAAAAATCTCCACAAAACCCATTCTGATACTAATTATATTTCTACTTATATTTTCATTCATTTCATTGTAGATTCATCATGTACAATCCCAATTGAATCATTTAGAGACTATATGTTCATATTGTACAATCCATCATGGTATTACATGTGATCCTATATGGTTATGTAATAATTTTTTTTGTCCAATCCATAGTCAACGTTTAATTGCTTCAACTGATTTAGCTTTATTTTGGACACATTATAATAGGTGTTTAAAACAAATGGATACGATTAATTCATGGTAATATCATGAATAATGAAATGAGATTATTTGTGATTCTCTTTCTGAATCCCCTCATCACCATAACCACCATCACCACTTTCTCTCCTTCCCTCCCTCTGTTCCTCTGTGTGTGTGTGTGCGTTTATGTATGTGCATATAGATGGTAATGTTTACTTTATAACTTCTTTTGTTCAATGTGTCTTTTATTGATATGTGTACATTATGATCTCTGTCATTTTCTTTCCTTCTTTCTTTCTTTTTTGGACAAGATAAGTATCCATTTATTAATTGTCAATGATCTAATGATTCACATATAAATTGACCATGAAGTGATATGTCTTTTGACTGAACGTTAGATTCAGCTCTTAAGCTCTGCTAGTAATCTCGAAACACGATGACGATGATGACGACGACGACAATTCTGTATGCTGATTGTTCGGAATAATTACACAGTGATTCTCGTCCAGTTACTGGTTGACTTTGGTTGTGTGTTTTTTTTTCAACCCATCGTCACTGTTTTTAATCATTGAAGTGTCATCTTTTAAATTCACTTCTTGTAGCGTTATATGTGGACATTGTTTAATTTTACTGAGAATTCTGGTTCTGATGTCGGCATTTTCAGGTGACTGCAAGTTGTATAGAAAACAAGACATTTAAACTGATCTTCTGTCATTGGTGATCATTTGAAACGCTCACACTGACGATTTATTATACCAGTATGTTTCACCTGGTCATTGTCTCCAGCTTTTGCCAACTTAAAAGGAAGCTACACGTAAGGATTTTGGAATATTCTTCCAAAATATGATTAGATGGGATATCTTTGACTGTTTCTCAGCTTTTTAGAGCTTCCTCTAGTTTACTGGTGGGCCGTCCTCACATGAAGTATCCTCTAATGTTTTAAAAATCTGATTGGTCTTCTTTGATAGGGTTAGCGGATCATATTATTTTTATCGGATCACTTGTTCGTTGAGATCTTATAAGTTAGCTGAAATGCAATCAGATTGAAATCAGCTTGATTTCAGGTTCAAGAATGAAGACGTACTCTTAAATTTTCTGTACAGTAAAGTACTTCACACATATAAGCAACCTTAGATATATTACACGTAATTACTCTAAGAATTTCTTATGTCGGTGATACTGTTTAAAAAGTCTACATCCAAGACTAAGAATTAAATATAGTTATTAGAAAAAACACAGTGTTTTACCATGCTTAACCAGTTGTTCTCTATACTATGTAATGATAATACCACAATTGATTGATCACTGAGTGGTGATCAATATCATGTGTGTCAAGTTCATATTTAGTGCAGATCGAATGCTATCGATCATGTTGCAATGTGGCCATCAGTCTAGGTGACTCGACACTTCGGGCACTATATATTGAGATTAGATGGTGGTTGGAGGTAGTCGATAGGATAGCTCAGTGGTAACGTCTCTGATTGTGAAGCTGGGTGACGTGAGATCGAATCCGCCAGGGAGCACCAGCTCCCTCAAGATTAAAGGTACACCTTGCTGACGAGTGCCAAGTAGCACGAAACCCGGGTTCAGGGTTTTCTGTCGACTACCTCCAACCACCATCTAATGATAATACCTTTAGAGTAATGGTATGATTAATACAAATTCAGATTGCTACTTTGTGAGGAACTAAGTGTCAGTCACCTGAATATCAATCAGGTTATCTTATTGAAACCACCATTGATCTAATTTCGTATCTCTTAGATATTCGTCCATGTACTGCCAATGCCTATTAAATTTTAACTCTAATTTTCAGGAATCTTCTTTCAATCGATTACGAGATTCTGACTGCTGAACTCTGTTCTATTTAATATTAAACCTGTTTAGCGAAACTTAGGATCGTGCCCCTCTCTAGTAGATCAGGCTGACAATCATATTAAGCTTACTTCACTTATCCTTATTAAATATTCAGATAACACAAATACTTGTGATAATATTAGTGTAGATACTCAACTAGGTTCGAAAACAGAACATACACTTCTGAATTACGTCTCACCTAGTAAAAGCTCGCACACTTTCAGATTGAATGTTTCTGTGAAAATTCGTAATATCATTAATCTCAAATAAGTTTCGTTAGTTCATTCGACAGCTTCCCAGATAAGTGCTAACTTGCTTAATGGTTTTAAACATGGAGTCAGTCAGTCAGCTACAACGTAGGTCCAGGCGCATATATCCATCGGTCCAAGTTGCCATACCTCATTAACACAACAAGATGAACACCGGATTCATAAAAGTAGTTAATTCAGAGTTGGTAATATATAAAAGAAAGATTGTAATAAGAATATGATACATGAAGAAAGAATTAGTTCGTAGAAAGAAAGATATGAAGCGATTTTATTCTCATAGTTTAAGGGAAGACAGGAAGTGTATACACCAACGCCATTGTGATCGATTCTGAGCCATGTCACCAAGAGCCTCCAACCATTGGTTACGGTAATCACGCGGTCCCCAACCAAGTAGTTTGCATCTACCAACATGGCTTAGACTAGAGGTTAGTGTCTTCAAGCATTGATGCCACGTTTTAGTTTGGCCGCCCCTTACTTTCTTCCAACCATCTCCAATACCGGTTAGCATTGCACGTCGTGGTAATTGGTGTTCAGGCATACGTAACACGTGGCCCAACCATCTCAGTCGATGAAGATTCACAACCTCATCAACTGATTTACTATCATTCCCTAATACCCTGCGTCTAACCTCACTATTACTTACCCGGTTATCCCAGCAGACGCCAGCAATATTTGTAAGGCATCTGTGGTCAAATACTAGTAGCTTACGAGTATCTTCAAAACTGTAAGGTAGATCGTTTTAATTAACAAACTTCTGTTCATCTGTTGAAGTTTCTAGTGCATATTAAACTTGTGAGATATCCGATTGTAACTTCTATCATTTAATTTTAAATTACTTACTTTCGCCTCTTACTCTCAATGGAGCACAGGCCGCCAACCAGCATTCTAAAACCCACTTTGTCCTGGCCCTTACTTTCTAATTTGAAATTAGGTATAATATATTATTTTAACAACTTTATGCATGATGTATACATGATACAATAGTTGATGAGAATTCGTATAAACTTCTATGATTACCCCATCTATGGTAACCGAACCGTGTGTTATCATATCAGCGATGTTTATATAGTCTGTTGAACTTCTGAAGAATGTTTAAAATGATGCTATCGATGCTGGAATCCAGGATACGCATTTCGTTCTCTTCGGGACTTGTCAAATGGATGTATTTCCAACTGAAAGTTAATGTTCACTTCTGAACTCGGACCTAGTACTGTTCACTTCAGACGCCATCGCGTTATCCACTTAGCTGCTGAGCTCAGATACCCATACACTTGTGCAACAGTTGTAAAACTTAATTCGATTTGAAATGGCTTATTTCAGAATGTTCTTGTCATACAGCTAATGTTCTCATACTCATCATAGTGAAACTAATTTTATCATCATACCCTACATCCCATTTATTTAACTGAAATTAACTACATGGAAGTTTTAACCGTTTGCCGTAAATTAATGAAGTTCTATGTATACAACAGTTTACGAAATTAACGGAGTTCATAGTCTACTACATTAAATTTATCTGTCTCACACCATCCCTAATTTGGATTAGTTATAAGCAAAGATGGATAGTGGCTAGCAGTGGAATCCAGAATGCACGTTTTGTCCTATTTAGGACTCGTCAACTGAATGTACCTGCATTCCAGTGTTGATGTCCATCTTTGCTTATAATGCTTGTGAATTAAAGCAATACACACAGTATGCACATATGCCAATAAGAGACTGATCAACTGCAGTCCTAAACATCAATGAGAAGATCCAAATGAATTTATTTGTGTTCATGAATATGATACAGTCTGTTACGAATAGCATTCCAATGTACATTTGTTATCTTGGTAAAGCTTAAAGGATAGATAATCATAATTTACTGAAGACTTCAGTAAACAAACCATTTGTACATTTTTAACTTACCTTTTCAAATAATGAGATCGTTTTAGAATTATTATTGTCCGACCACTTCAACAAACAAACTTAAGCGACAAGTAAAAAGGTTTGCATCAATGAATATGATGATAAGATTCTCATTAATGATAGAGTTATTGTTAATGTGGGAAATCAATCTTATCATCCTAATGGGATTTTCCAAGTATCAATAGTCAAGTTCCTCTATACCAAACAATGAGTTGCCTTCGTTTTAATCGACTTTCTAATGAATAGATTTTTCATTTATCGACGACTTTTGACCGACGCCACAGTGACCTTGAGAGTGTCCACCTGGTAACTAGGACCAAATGAAGGTTATAAACTAGTGTGAGTAATTAGAATTATGATTTACAGTTGATGGTTAAGGGTTACGAATTACATTTACGGTTTTCATCATGAAATGACATCAGCTATAATGCCAAAACGCTATTTAACTAAATGGATGAATGAAGCTCGCGTCAAAACCTGTTATCTCATATCTGATTGGTTCGTCCATAAATTATAGTCCCGCCAACTTTCAATAACACAACACAATATGGCTCACTTTCGAACTCCTTCACAATGTCATCTAAGTTCTATATTTATTGAAATTAAATCGTGTATAATCGTGTACTGATAAAAACAATGAGTCCCACAATAGGACGAAACGACCGTCCAGTGTTTTCAGGTTTTCAATGGTGGCCTAACATCAATCGGTTCATAATCTCGATCAAGAAATTCTCCAATCACTGAAACTAGTATGATCTGGAAAGTTTAACTAAGGTTGTTAAACAAGCAACAGAACTGAGCAAAATCATCATAACATAAATTGAGGTTCTTCAAAATTTAGATATAAACTATCAGATGACCATGTTCATGTTAATTGACCAGCGAGATCATTTGTTCGCTAGAAGTTTCAATTTATAGTTCTAACTATTCTTGTTTTTCATTTAGCGTATTAGTCTGCTCTGTGTTCATAGCAGCAACAACCTACTGTGGAAGAAAACAAACCAGACCACAGCGGAGGAAGAACCACTGGAA